TTAGAAAGTTAAATGTCTTCCTAAACGAATACACAAAAAATCAAACATGAAATCCTTGGCATTCCTCAGATTAATTTTTAAAACCTACATTAAACCTACATCATTGTCTTTGCTTCAAATCAGTTAAGATATAAATAAACCCTTGGTCTAACCTCCCCCTCCTTCTTTTTATGAAAGTCAAAATGTTATTTTGCGCGCAGTGACAAAGCCCAGCATGCAATATCTGGCTGCTACTGCTATACACATATGAAATTCTCTTACATACGTACGCTGTTGCATATCTAATGATCGTACCATTGCAGAAGTTGAATCTCTGCACTGGCGGATCTGGAGCCCCCCCCCTTGCATAAAGGTGCAGGAATGGCTATATCGTCGTATAGCGATATATATCGTCTCTCAGAAGATATATTCGTGGAACTATCTCTTCCCATCCTCAAATCGAAATATATCCGATATATATCTCTGGGGTAGGATATATATCGAATATATCGTGTATATCGTGTATATCGTCATCCATAAATATAAGAACTTTTTAACAAACCTCTGTATTGAAGATATATATCCGATATATATCTTGGAGACAGGATATATATAGATTTTAGCGTATATATCGCGTGTGTATCGCTCTATATCTAGGAAAGATCTAGAGGATATATATTGAATATATCGTGTATATCGTGCTTGAAAAATAGGGTATTCGATATATATCCTGTCTTCAAGATATATATCGGATATATATTCCCAGTTTACAATTTTGTTAAATCAGTTCTTATATTTTTCAAACATAATATACATGATATATTCGATATATATCCTCTTTCCAAGATATAGAGCGATATACACACCATATATACGATATATTCGATATATATCCTCTTTTCAAGATATTCAGGATTAGAGGGATGATATCAGGGATGATATTGATATCATCCCGGGTATATTAAAATTTTTTACATGTTTTCCCAAAAAATCATTTTCAAAATTTTTCAGTTTTTCACAAATTTTCATATTTTCAAAATTTTCATTTTTTCCAAATTTTTCATTTTTTCCAAAAAGTCGTGCATATCTTCGTTAAGTATCTTGATATCAAGACAAATATCAAGTAGGTATCTTTTTTTCACAAATTAAATTTATTTCCAAAAATTTATTTTTTCCAAAAATGAGTTTGTAAATGAAACCCCCTCATTGAACTACATATTAAAGGCTCTTTTTGTTCGAATTTTATTTAACATAACCTGTGAGGAAAATGTGTATTGATGGAAATGTAACTTGACTTCATTTCCAATGCCCCCAAGGTTTCCCAATTTTTTCCTCAATCACAATAGGTCGAAAATTGATGATAAACTTTATGAATATGTGAAAATCGTCGTTCCTATGTAAACCAATGGAAAATGGTGGGTTCGGGGCAAATTTGATTTCCGGGTATCTAACCAGTAAAAGACTCACCTAAAATATTTTTATAATTATAGAAAATTGAATTGTCTACTTTTTGTACTCTAAGTGTTCAGTTTACTTTATGAATACTTAAGTAACAGAAAAATAAATTTGACTTTGAAGACCTATAACTTTTTAAAACTGAGGAAACATATCAAATTTTTATTAAACAAAGTAAGCAAATACAATTTTGGCCACCTAACTTGCATTTTTTGCAAGATCTCAGATGGATAAATATTCAAACATATGACTTGCGGCAAACTTACCATTTCCCATTGGTTTACATGGGAATGTCGATTTTCCCAAATTCATCAGATTTATCATCAATTTTCAACCTATTGCAATTGAGGAAGAATTGTGAACATTTGGAGGCATTGGAAATGAATTAAATTACATTCTCATCAATATTATAAGTATTTTCCTCGCAGGTAATGGAAATAGAAATTCAAACATGAAGAGGCTTTAACACGTAGTTCAATGAGGGAACTAAGATTGCCAAACTTACGGAGGGGAGTGTATGTAACGTAAATATTTCTAAGATTCAATCCTTTTTTCTCTCATTCAACAGAAGATTTTGGGTAGATGTTGCTCTTGACCATGGTATAAGGTCGTTATTCACCTGTCGGGATGATATGGGTAATATCCCTAGGATGATATCGATATTTCCCTCGGTCACTATAGCGTATGTATCGTTAGTATATCGCTCTATAGGATATATATCGAATATATCGTATATATCATGTGTATATCGGTCAATATCTTGAAAAGAGGATATGTATCGAATATATCGTGTATATCATTAGTTTATCGCTCTATACCTTGAAAAGAAGATATATATCGAATATAGCCTATATATCGTCTGTATATCGCTGTATCTTGAAAAGAGGATATATATCGAATATATCGTGCATATCGTGTATATCGTCATGGATAATTTTAAGAACTGATTCAACAAACCCTGTATTGGGGATATATATCCGATATATCTTTAAGACAGGATATATATCAAATATAGCGTATATATCTTGTGTATATCGCTCTATATCTTGAAAAAAGAGGATATATATCGAATATAACGTGTATATCGTGTATATCGTCATGAATAATTTTAAGAACTGATTCAACAAACCCTGTATTGGGGATATATATCCGATATATATCTTGAAGACAGGATATATATCAAATATAGCGTATATATCTTGTGTATATCGCTCTTTATCTTGAAAAGAGGATATATATCGAATGTATCGTGTATATCGTGTATATCGTCGTGTATAATTCCAAGAACTGATTCAACAAACCCTGTATTGGGGATATATATCCGATATATATCTTTAAGACAGGATATGTATCAAATATAGCGTATATATCTTGTGTATATCGCTCTATATCTTGAAAAGAGGATATATATCGAATATATCGTGTATATCGTGTATATCGTCATGGACAATTGTAAGAACCGACTTAACAATCTCAGTATTGGGGATATATATCCGATATATATCTTAAACACAGGATATATTTATCGAATATAGCGTATATATCTTGTGTATATCGTTCTATATCTTGAAAATAGGATATATATCGAATATATCGTGTATATCGTGTATATCGTCATGAATGATTTTAAGAACTGATTCAACAAACCCTGTATTGGGGATATATATCCGATATATATCTTGAAGACAGGATATATATCAAATCGATAGCGTATATATCTTGTGTATATCGCTCTTTATCTTGAAAAGAGGATATATATCGAATATATCGTGTATATCGTGTATATCTTCGTGTATAATTTTAAGAACTGATTCAACAAAGCCTGTATTGGGGATATATATCCGATATATATCTTGAAGACATGATATATATCGAATATAGCGTATATATCATGTTTATATCGTTCTATATCTTGGAAAGAGGATATATATAGAATATATCGTCTATATCGTCTATATCGTGTATATCATCATGGATAATTGTAAGAACTGATTCAACAAACCCCTGTATTGGGGATATATATCCGATATATATCTTAAAGACAGGATATATATATCAAATATAGCGTATACATCGTGTGTATATCGCTCTATATCTTGGCAAGAGGATACATATCGAATATTGCGTGTATATCGTCATGGGTAAATGCTAGGAACATGATAAAATCTGGAGAAGTATATCTGGCCAGATTTTATATAGCCTTATATATCGACGATATATATCGAATATATCACATGTAAGTCAATGAGAGGCAGTATAGCGATATATATCGCTATACAACGATATAGCCATTCCTGCACCATTCTCCCCCCTTGGGTGGTCCAAGGGCCCTAAAAAAACTGTTGGGCCCAAAAAGGCCTTAAGGCTCCATAAAGTGGGCCTTTTTGGTCATTACTGGGCCTTCTAAGGTCTTATTTTTTAATTTCATGCCAAATTTCGAAGAACTTGAAATGGGCCTCAAAATTTCAAAATATAGGCCCATTTCTAGGTTTTAGGGCACGGACCTCTGCCAGAAAAGCTCCTCTGTGTCTAGGCTCAATAAATATACTCAAGGTCTTCCCATTTATCCTTTGAGCCTAACCAACAGGGGCTGGATCTGGCTCCGGATCTGTGTTTTAGGGGCCCAAATTTTTTTTCTCTGACCTGAAATTTGGGCACCCTACCCCCCCCCCTATTGGTTCCCAGCGATCCACCCCTACTCTGGCGGAAAGCTAAAAATCAAATTCCGTCACCTAATTAGTGGGGCTTTTACCCTCCCCCCCACTTCCCCCTATCATAATTAACTACGTTTTTTTGACGGACATTGAAATGTTGACCCGGCCCCTAAGATACATGGATATGAATACACCGTACCATCCATGATTGATTATTCTATCATTTCTGTTAAAAGCATTCAGAACTATATTAGCTACCTTTAAAGGGTGACGCATATCGTTTAGCAAATCGAACGCTCGTTTCTGGTGTTGCTCACCGTTTAGTATAAAAGGCCCGATCCCGGAATAATACTCAAGGGTTCACAGGTTCGAGGTCGTTGTGTCAACACCTCTAACTAGCATAAGTATATCATAGATCGTCACACATTTATAAAAGGGTGATTTTTATTTTGACAAATCAATTCCACATTTATGGGTGAAGTTTCAGGATCTTCTATTTGTGTATAATAAGGAAAAATTGGCATCTAAATTTCCCCATAACGTAATAGCACACAGCTTGGCATATGAAATATCCTACAAATGAAACAAAGCAAGACAAACCGGTTTCTAATACAATAATTTATATTGGCTGTTGTACAATGTATTATTTGAACGCAATCACTCTTTGGATAACGTTTTCAAAATCATTATAAACGGATTACTTTATCTCAAAGACAATTTCAATAAACTGGATTTTACAGAACTCCCCTTATTTCTTAAAAATGGACTGATCCAGTTGATTCGCCTGGAGCCGCCATATTGTTTTTATACGGGATGCTAATCGGAACCCTTTAAGAAAGAAATGAATAATTATAGATGTCACCATGTAGCTCATTATCCAATCAAATATGCAATATGAAAACGAGGCAGTAACCCAGAGGTAAATGGCGGGTGCGAAGTGAAACACATGTCTTCCCACATTTCGACTTAAGATATAACAAGAAATACGTAAGTATGACTTTCAACAATGCATCAGAATAATAAAATATATATCTTTAATTGTTATATTTCTGCATTCTGAGCTGTTTATGTGCCATGGAGAATGCTAAACGTATTGTAAATATCCGGAAATTTTTCAAATGTTTTGTGCAATTTTCAAAAGTTGACTCACTTTCGTCTTTGTTTATGTGATTAATATTTTGATTTCAAGGATCTGTTTGGCTTTTATGATACCTACTTGTAGCAGAATTCATGTCTAATGTAAAAGCTATGTATGGACCAAGATCAGGGAGGAAACAACAGTCTATTTTGGACTGAAAAGTCTTCACATTTTTGACATTTTTTCCCGCAATATTCTGAACTCAGTTCCTTTGTTTACAGACATGAACATGTGTTGCTTGACATGCATATTGTAAGCTTATATGCTATTGATGTTTCTTTTGTCTAATTTCACCTTTTACTGAGAAATGTTCACTTTGATATCAAATTATTCAGCTCTTTGGTTGTGTTCATTAGTGCCTCCCAAATTCTTCTTCTTAGTCCTTTTCAGTGTTCCTTATAAGGTGTTCCGGGATCACTTTGGCATTATTATGCTGCCTTTAATCACTTGTTGCTGTTTTTAAAACTCATGTACTAAAAATATCACTTGTACTTTTCACTTGTGCTTATTTTACTTCTGTTGGGAGAGAGAGCGCTAAAACTTGTTATCTAACGTAGTCTAAAATGCAAGTGTTTTTCCATTAAAATGAGATGTTAAAATAGAGTCACTATCTCACTCGAGTTAAAAATAAGTTATTAAAATCTCTTGGATTTCTGTATAAATGCCTGCAGGCATTTCATAATTTCTTTATTTAACTTATGGTCCAGGCTTGTGTTGAGTCCTGTGATTGTTTGTAGGTCCAGAGCTGGATTGTATTTAGCTCCTAGTAGTATCTGTTGCACTTTGGCCAATAGAATCTCCCTCTCTTCCTGGAACTTAGAGCAAGCAAAGATGTAATGTTCAACTGTCTCTGGTATGTTACAGTGGTCACAGATAAAATATCGGGGTTAATTCTATGGTAATTGCCATGTAAACGGGTGTGCCCAGAAATAATTTGGTTACATATATTTCTATAATACCTAGTTCCTGTCTTTACAATTGGACTTTTCAATTTAACCTTAGGAATTAATTCCTGAACAAAGTTCACCTTGGTGGAGTTGTTATACCTATTTTGCCATTTCTCTAAAGCGTTACATTTGATATTATTATAAGCTACAGACTTAGATGTTTTACAGTCAGTGAGAGATTTGGCTGCCAATGCAGCTTTCTTGGCAGTTTTATCCGCAACTTCATTCCCTTCTGTCCCTTGGTGACCTGGTACCCAATAGACTTCTAAGGTTTTGTTCTGTAAAGATAGCAGTTTGCAGGCTTTCCTTGTGTCAATAATGTCCTCTGTGATGCTTTTACACTTGGTAGCAATAAAAGATGCTGTTATAGCGGGTTGGCAGTCTGACAAGAGCAGGATGTTGCTGCTAGTCTTTATGGTTGTCAGATATTCTACCGCCATCTTTATTGCTACCACTTCCCCATAATAGTTGTTACCTATGAGGGAGACTGGTTGCTCAAGACATATAGGTGTAGATTTAAGTCCACCCACATAAACCACTGCAGCAGCTCCCGAAGGACCAGGATTCCCATAGGCTGACCCGTCTGTGAAGACTATAGTCCTACCGTCCGGCTGTTCACTAAGCACTGAGCTTATTTGAACACTTTGGGCGGACTTTGTGTTGGCAAAATCTTCGTCATGGATGGTTGCCTTCGTAGGTTGGAAGATGTCTACATCCTGGTGATGACGATCCCAAAGAAATGTCCTTGTCACATAAGATCGAGTCAAATTCCACAGGAACCTGTAACACCTGACAGTGATATCTATTGGTGACCAACCCCAGAGATATACCCTTTATCTCTTATAAAGGAGCTCCTCGTTCAGACCGAAAGTCTACCAACCCATTTTTAAAAGTTACAATATCGTTATTTTGCTTTGCCTGTGAGCATTCATATTTTCCCAGATTTCAATATATTTATATTTAAAATTCTAATTGATCGAGCTTTGTGATCGAGTTGGGTTTCAAGAAATAACTGCACCCGGAGTGTGAAATATCCAACAGAAACTAGTGATATAGAGACGAAAAACTGAGCACTAAATTGAATTTTTTTGACGGGTAACTTGGACAGCCTCGTTTTCATTTATTTGAAAATATTTTTAAATTTATCCCCAGATACAAAAACGTTGCAAATCATACCATTCAAACGAAGTAAAACATGGAAATTCAGTTGCAAATACATTCCCTAGACGTGAATGAAGCATATCTTCAATTTTCAAATTGTTATTTGTGCCGAAACTAGCGATAAATGAATGAAAGGTGAGTAATGAAATTTTGGAACCACAACCGTAGTTTTGTCCTTCGAAAAGTCAGCTCATTTCAGTCATCAAATTATCATAATGCATCGATGGTGAATCAAATTTTATGCTAACTTCAAGTCTTTGGATATGTTTTCAACAAACGAGAAAAATATGAAGGCTCACAGGCAAAGAAAAATAATGATTTTGTAACTTTTAAAAAGGGTTCATGATTTTCCAGTGATGGTTACTTTCCTTGTATAAGAGATATATTCCCAGGGTTCTGTCACCAATATATGTCAATGTCAGGTGTTGATACAGGTTCCTATGTCAAATTCAGGTAGCCAGTCACATTCCCATAGCCAGGTCGGTTCGAGCAGACTCCCTTGTTCAAAAATTCTTCCAAAATCATGCAGTTCACATCATAATGATCGTGTTGAATTTTTTTTCTGGATTCTAAAAATTCCTGGTGAGAACCCTGATATATCATGGCATCCACGTATGATTTATGAACAACAAATGGTCATACTCCAAAGTTTCCATAATATGCAAAGCTTATCAAGTTCAAATATCTAAGCATTAGCATTACGTCAATTATAAAGTAGTTTAATTTGACGAAAACCAAAAGTATCTAAATCGACACTTTCCATACGCTATCTTAGATGAGAAGGTAACGGCAGATACATTGATCTTGATACTTAACTGACCAGTGATGGGGGAGTTTTATATTTTAAACCATATTGTTTTTCTAATACATACATACTTAGATGTCAAACATTATGCATGAACAATTGAAAATGTCCCAGTCTCTTCTGTTTGATATATTCTTGTTATTCTTGTAATTTGTTACTTACTTTCTTATCTTAGATTCTCCTCCTTGAGATTTGCTTATAGCAACATTAAGATATGGCTTGTGGATATTATACATTCTGCAGGAAAATGTAAGATGTAATAAGATTAGAAAATAGTAGATATAATACATACTGCAAAGGAAAATAAATATAAAGGTTTAAACTTTATAAATTATATAGAATATGAACATTTCCATCTGTAATTTAGAGAGAAAGAACATGGAAAAATATAATGATATTGTAGAAATGGTAGGAAGTTCACAGTGACATGCTACATATCTGATAATCATTAAATAACTAATGGATTTGCTAAAACTTCCTAATAAAGGGAACACATCAACTTTCCAAAACCCATGCTATTTCCCTGTATTATCTTCCCAAATACACTTTAATTTATATTTGAGACTTTTATTTTCAAAATTTCTCACTGATTCTATTAAACATTAGTTCTTATTTTTTCTTATTTTAGGCTTCTCCATATTAATTGCTCGTGTAGCAGGACATATTTTTATTTTGACAAAATGGCTGATTGACCTGATTTTTTGTTCGATGTAGAATTGAAAAAAACATGTCATGCACCAGACAGGTACTAGGCTAATGCATACATTTAATTTGTAAGGGTTATACTAGTCTTAATAATTGAATTATTAGAAGTAAGTACATGTACAAATGTATGTTGGAATTGTGTAGCTAGTGTGCATTCCATGTACATTATTAGAGCCTAATACATGAGACGAAGCTCTCTTTTAAAAAAGTGAAATCCAACTAATGGAAAAAGTACAGTTGATATAAACACCCAGTAATACAGTTCATAGTGTTTCATACTACCATGCATTCAGGACACCCGGCATATAAGAAAAATTTATACGGTATAAGAAAATATCTGAAGTTTAGCTTCCAAATGAATGAAAGGGAAGTTGATGTTACTTGAGTAGAAAATAAATGATATGTCCAGAAACTGGAATGTTACATTACAGCGATCTATTTTCACCAGCCTGATGTTTACATTCCTAGCTTGTTAATGTAAGGAGCAAGAAGCCTTGAAACACCCTGACATATAAGCAGCACTTCTCCAGCAGGTGCTCTGCCTTAAAATCAAAATAGTCAATTTAACAGGTGAGGCGAGCCATTGATTTAAATGGGAGAGGTGAATACCGACTAAAGTAAATATAATGTCATAATTTGACTTTGTTCTCTACAGCTTTAGTTTAAAGACATCAGAATTAACAATTAATACTGTTTCTGTTAATATTTGTGAAGACACTGCCCCTCTCAGTCCTGCCTCAAACTTAGCTGTACACATATGAATTCAGTTCAGAAAGTTGATTTTCTCATCATATTTATATATAAATGATAAATATCAGGTTGATCAATAGGATAAAATGTAAAGTGATACAGGATTATAAAGAAGGCTAGATTAACATTAATAATATAAAATTAATAATGTTGATGTTTAAGTTGGAATTTGGCAGGCTGCCATATATTGGAGAAGACCGTACCATTTGCAAATTTTCTAAAAAAAATTACTTATAGTTCTGAATCATCAGAAATATCCACCTCTGTACCAAAATAAATCCATGATATCTTAATATAAATATAAAAATGAACAAAGGGAAGAGAAGCAAAGTATGGGGCTAAAAGGATATAAGGTTTAGCATATGGTTTAACAAATGATATATAAAAACAACAATGCCAATAACCCCCCCCCTCTCTTTAAATATGATGACTAGATGCTTCATTATTATAATTTATTAACATAATTCATTTTCAGAGCAAGTTGAATTATTTTCTCATCCGACAATTATAATGATGAATTGTAAGAATTAGTCATCGCGACTTATGATTAATGACTTATGAATAATGTTCAAATTCATTCATTTCTTTGAGCTTTCTGAAAATTAGATGATATTAATTTCTTCAGTATTAGTAGTAATTTTATCATATTTTTGTAAATAGTGTATCTGATCATTGTATATTATATATCTGTTCGAAATGATTATATTCAATATATTGACAGGACTTACAGTTTTGACTTCTCCTTTATTGATAAAAGTTCTTCATTTTAAAGCAGTAGAATCATCCATTTTTGTTATCTTGAATTGACATTGCTATGGCGACCACATCTTGAGATTTATGTAGATATATAACCATTAGTAAAATATCAATATGTCACATTTTAAAACCAAAATACTAATCATAAAATGGTGGGGAAAAAACAATGCATGAAAACATCACAAAATTGACAAACTGAATTGTATAAAAGGACTTGTTATGAAGAAATAGAATGATGAAAGCATGAAATAAAATTTTAAGCCATGGAAGATAAATCACAGAAGTTGTTTCAGCATACCAATAGCCTGATAGTGAGTAAGCTTAGTGGCCTTGTTGGGTCCTCCACTAGTCTACTCTCAAACCTGGGTCATTTCATAGTAAATGTAATATTGGGAAAATTGCCTGCTGCTGTTGTTTCAAGTAGTGTATTATACCTGGTTATTGTTGTGACCCTGTCTGTAGGGTCAGTACTACCCAGATACGACTAGCACTATTCAGATATGATAAGCACCACCCAGACAAGAATTAGCACCACCCAAATAACATTAGCACCGTTCAGATAGAATTTACCCCACTCAGATATAATTAGCCTCACCAATATAAGATTAGCACCACCAATATAATATTAGCACCACCCACTTTTATAGAAATGATCATTTCCAGTGCTCTCTCTACATTGAAATCTATGAGTAGCAGCACCTCCATATATATTATATAACCAAAATGCTCCTCAATGCAATTAGATGTGCCTCCTACAATGTTACAATAAAAAACCACTCTGTTTTGCTGATATCATCATTCACAGATTTCACCACTTCCATAGAAAAAAGTAATAGAAAAAATATGGAAAACTTGTATAAGTAAAATAGCTAGGTAAGATGAGAACTTTCACCAGTTAATAAAAGAAATCCTCCAACCACAGCAATCCAGACATCATCTACTACGTTCCTGCCTTCCTGGAAGAGAGAGGTAGGAGTTCTGGAGGCCTGCGTTTGGAGAATGATGAAAAATGTGACCTCTGTTTCTTCAATTTGACTTGTCTCGATAGGAAAGTCAAGTTGGCTCAGTATGTTACTGTAACATTCTTCATCTAACTAATTGTCACGATTCATGTATAATATTCCAACATTAGTAGATAGAGTTTAAATTATTGGTTTCATATTTACACTATAATCAGCTTTCACTGTTGAACAATTAATTAACAATCTTTGACAGAAATATAATTAATTTCCCTGTCGTTTGATGAAATGATTTGCTCTTCTCTGTTTTCTGCAAGTTAAAATGATGAATACTGTTAATGAAACTTGTGAATTCTGCAAGTGAAAATAATCAATTCAGCTTAAATTTGGTAGGATTTCTCAATTTTAGATGAAAAATGAGAAAATATGACAAAATAACCTAGAGGTTCATATTTATATAGAGAAAGGTTCACCTATGAGTTCTGGAGTACTTCTTCTCTTCGTATCTTATGTGATGAGACAGAAAATCTGCAATTTACTGACAAAATACATTCTTATACTCATCGCATTTTTTCTTTTTCACTAGACAAAAATAAATTGAGATGTCATGTTTCATCATGATTGAAAAACATTCATTAATGGGTGTATTTGTGAACATTTAGCTCATAGAGAACAGTACCAGGTGTTTGTTGATAACTTGATATTACAGTGTAATACTGATGTGACATTACCTATACTGCTCTTGTTTCACTGTCTGTCTGGTTTGTCAGTTTACAAATTGTTCTCTGCATCATTCATTGCAAGAATAATTGTTGCATTTTTTCTTCCAAATCTGGTAACTGTTACCAAAAGGAAGTTCTTTTTCAATTTTTATGGTTTTGACTCGATGAACAACATTAATATTCAAATTATGTACTGAATCTTATAATAGTTTCATTAAAGATGCATTATGCCATAGGTTTCTCCCCCAGACAATCAATGATGTCTTATTGTTATCGCTCATATAATATCTCACATACCATGGATATATCTTGAGAATAACTTTTGGGTATATTATTGCCGAAATATTGGAAATAATCAACAGAACAACCAAACTCCAGAATTAAACACAATCGATTCCTCGGCTAGCGAGGGGAATCCCCATTGAGTCACACATGCGGCCACAAGCGCCTTGAACCAGACAACCAATCAGGTTTATGATAAACAAATTCAACGACCAATCAGATAACAGGAGGACTTTCCCGGTATATTCAAACTTCAGATTGAATTAATTTCTTCGAAAACAATTAGATCGGCCAGCACAATCGCAAAATTAACACTGAAAGAGGGGGATTTGGGACTTCTTCTTTGGTTAGTAGATGGGTCTTGATTGTGCTATCCTATGGCATAGGGCCTCTTTAAGATATTTGAGTTGTGTTTTACAATGGCTAATATTGGTCCATTGTCCGTAGAGATTAGCTTACCATTTAGTGAAGAATAAACCCATGAATGAATTTTTATCTGATGCGAACCCGCCATCAAGGCCTAAATAATGATATGGATCATGAATAAAGTGGAACATGAATGAAACATTAGTTGACCCTCATTAATGAGTGTTGAATCAAGAAAAGTCTGTATTTTGTCCAATACAAAATGAAAGGAATTCAATTGCACCAATCTTTGAGTATAGCCTTTGTACAGAAATTATGCATTGTGTTAATATAGCAATTGTGGCTTTAGAATACAAATCACTGATTCGCAATCATCAATAATTCTAAATACCTCTTTACTTGAAAATTCTTTTAGATTATTATCAGCATACAGCAACAGCAACCTTTTGGTTTTTTATTATGATGTGATTGCGATCCATCCATTGTTTATATTACAAGATGGTCGGAAGTAGCATGTTTCGATTCAATAGAATTACAAGAAATTGTTATTCATGGTACCTTGTCTACTCATGCCATTTGTACTGATGTATGTATATTCAGTATATGTGCAGGTAGGAAGCTGCGCAGCATATATGACATGGTATTAACAAAGAATTATACAAGAAGGCCAGCATGTTTTCCTTATCAACCACACTAAATAGGAATGTTCAAAATTACCTTGAGAAGGATTAGAAAACGGAATGTTTTATGATAAGTAGCATGTCATGTAACATTTTGTAAATTGTTTCTTTACTGATATTTCAGTAAACACATACTTTGATCATAGTATATAAGTAATTCCATGCGTTTTGTATACTCCTTGTAGATTTCATTCATCCACTCTCCGCTTTATCTACAGTGAGTCATCCCCTAAACTAATTATGCATCCATTCCCATTATTTACACCAGACTAGCATAACATGTCATTTTCTGTAGAACGCTATTTCCAACTTATTGGTCTAATAACACTCTTCCTTTAAGTACCATTAACCTGGCTTGACAGATTTTATGCAAGCTCGTTACCAGGCAATAGATATATATGAAAAATGGTTCTCGGGGACAAAAGAACAAGATGCTATGATGATGGAGGTTTAGGTTATGAAATTTAGGTGGTAAAAATATCCTGCACTGACTTTAAATATCATTATGGTGGAAAGTATTTATAAACAAATGGTGAAAAATGAGGAAGTATTGAAATAAAATCCTGTGTATAAATCTCCCCTTTTGTCATGGCTATTTCGTGCATATTCTCTCTAAAATTTGAATGAAGTGATTCATAATAGGTGATTTCTATACAAATAGAGTGTTAACTTCATATTTGTTCAATCTAATTCCTTGCTAATTCCTCTTTCTTCATGCCATTTTCTGTTTCAGAACATGGGCACCATGACATTTTCTCATGTAATCAGCATGTCTGGAATAACAAGCTCAAGTGTGTTAACTAAATATGATATGCATTACTTTTTACATTCCATGAAAGTCAATGTAATTTCAGATAAAATATATGTTTCTAATTGAGGCTTCTTGAAATTATTTAAGGCCTCGTATAAAATTAAAACTATGTAAGCTAATATTGTATCCTTACCCAACTTTGCTCAGGGCCTTTATTATTTTGTATTGTATTTTGTTTACCTCCAATGAAAGTGAGCAATACCTTATGTCGTAATTAACGCATGTAATCATGGAAGGCAGATCCAGGAACCCCTCCTTGGAGGAGCCCCATGTTCTTTTATGTGCACACATACACTATAGTCATACAAGTACACACCACAGCCTTTTGTAGGAGTTGTGGACCACTCAATCAAACACCCTGAAGTACTTTACCCTTTAAGGATTTATAGTAACAGAAACAAACCTGTCTTGCACATATACATGTTCATGTAAACTGAAACTGATTGTAACAGTTTGTTCTTTTACTTTTGGCATGACATCAAGTGTTATACATGTAGTTGTAAAAATCAGCAGGTAGATCTTTCTGAACATGTCAAAAGTGCCTCATATGGCCTCCAATTGAAACTTGAGTTTGATATTTAAAAAATATTTGAATAATTTATTCAAATATTTTTTTGTTAATTCAGAGCAACTTTTGCCTTCTTCCAAAATACCATGGTGGTTTCAAAAAACATTTTTTATGTTACATATACATCAGTTTTACTTCAGCCAGAATCATTAGAAGAACACAAAAGTGTCAGATAGCCTTGAGTTATTGAGTTGATTTTAATTGTGGTTTCTTTTTTATGTTTCCAGGTGCAATTAAGTAGGTAGCAGCTATAAAGTAGAGTAGTTCAACAACTTGACAAAAGATGTCAACATCATCTCCAAGCCCTACCAGCGATATGACGTCAGCTGAATCAACATCGACAAATTCGTCAAATCCATCATCAGAAAATGATTTAGACACTGGGCCGAATACAAAATGTACAATATGTAATGAAACCTATACGATTCCTAAAGTACTCTCGTGTTTTCACACATTTTGTCAGCCTTGTCTTGAAAAACTTCAGGAGACCCCTGATAAGATCACATGTGTCGGTTGCAGACAGGATACATTATTAGGACCCCTTGGACTTCATGGATTAGTGCCAGACTTCGCAGTCAGTAACATCCTTGAAGAAAATGATGTGACGGACACATCAGCACTACATTGTACAGGGTGTAAGACAAAGGACACAAACGCAGTAGCTCGTTGTTTTGATTGCGCTAATTTGCTCTGCGCTAACTGCGTCATGGCGCACCAATTCATGCATTGCTTTGAAGGGCATCATGTACGATATCTGGCCGATTTACAAAACAAAGACGCTAAGATTGAGAAAACAGTTCAATGTCTGAAGCATAAGCATGATGCTTTGAAATATTTCTGCCTGACGTGTAATATACCAATATGCCAGGAATGCACAGTTGTCGATCATGCGAATGGTCACAATTACGAGATCATATCAGAAATAAGCGATGGAATTGTTGAGAAAATTCATCAGATGTCGGAAGATTCGAAGAATAAGGCAAACTCTCTGCGTGGTTTGTCCAAAAGTATCGAGCACACATCCAACCACTTGCAAATCCACTACCACAAAGCGCAAAATGAAATCAACGAGACCTACAATTTTTATCGTTCGATGATTGAGGAACGCAAACAGGAGGTACTCAAGGAGTTAGATGGCGCATATAATGCAAAGCAGGTGACCTTGAGCGCCATAGCAACGAAGATGCAGGATTCTACTGATAAGTTATACCAGGCAGCTGAGTTTGTTGACAAATTGAAGGGCCACACAAGTAGTTCCGAGTTGCTGGTCTACAAAAAGCTGCTGGATGATAAACTTGATGGCTTGTTAAACTACTTCCCAGATCAGAACATTCAGAATATGTTCGATATGGAATTCGTCTCCAATTACCAGGCGATACAGGTTGGAGTCCGAAATACCTTTGGATATGTGCGCCAGAATGCTGATAAGCCTGCCCCAATAGCAAGACCAAATACAGTCATCCAGAATCATAATCGTAAAAATCGAATCATGTCCGACACGAGTGGTCTCATGAATGGTCAGCACCATGGTCAATTGATTGATACGCATTCATTGATCAAGCGATTCTCCACGAATAATCTGTTGAATTTCCCACCACCACCAAGTCTGCCGTCACCAACGGAACAAAAGGTTTCCTACGATACATGGTCTCCTGGTATTGACATCATGCAGAATGGAGGTCAGGGAGGGGGAGATGTCTTCACGACCAGCGCAGATCCAATAGTTGACCTTACGTCCAAGCTTATCACAGCAAATATCTACCCACCGAAATCACAGCTGAAACGACAGAAGATGATTTACCATTGCAAGTTTGGTGAATTTGGCGTCATGGAAGGTCAATTCACAGAGCCATCTGGTGTAGCTATCAACGCCCAGAATGACATCATTGTCGCCGATACCAACAATCACAGAATTCAGATATTTGATCGAGAAGGTCGCTTCAAATTCCAATTTGGGGAATGTGGGAAACGTGATGGCCAATTGTTGTATCCCAATCGTGTCGCTGTTGTTCGAACCTCTGGTGATATTATTGTTACTGAGCGTAGTCCAACACACCAGGTACAAATCTACAACCAATATGGGCAGTTTGTTCGCAAATTTGGCGCCAACATCCTACAGCACCCCCGTGGAGTCACTGTTGACAGCAAGGGTCATATCATCATCGTTGAGTGCAAGGTGATGCGTGTCATCATTTTCGATCTCTTTGGAAATGTTCTACAGAAATTTGGCTGCTCCAAGCATTTGGAGTTTCCCAATGGTGTCGTTGTGAATGACCAAGAAGAAATCTTCATCAGTGATAATCGCGCTCACTGTGTTAAAGTGTTCAGCTACCAGGGGGTGTTTCTACGACAAATCGGAGGTGAAGGCGTCACAAATTATCCAATCGGTGTTGGAATCAATCTTGCTGGAGAAATCCTCATTGCCGACAACCACAATAACTTCAACGTTACCATGTTCACCCAAGATGGCCACTTCCTGCATGCCTTTGAGAGTAAGGTAAAACACGCACAATGTTTCGATGTGGCCCTCATGGACGATGGGTCCATTGTACTCGCCAGCAAGGACTATCGTTTGTACATCTACCGATACATGCAACTTCCTGTGTTTCCTATGTAACTTCATAGAGACTTCCGAGGCTCAGAGAACTATTCAGTTAAACTATCACATTGGTGTATCAGACAGTATCACAAAGGTGTATCAGACTGTATTGTGGATCCCAACTTAGTGACACTAATCATAGAATTTGACCCAATAAACTTAATAGGTGATACAAAACAGCAGTTGAGTATTCCAAGGATTCAGCACTTAAAAAAAGCTATGAGACAATGCCGTTCGACTAATAAGTATTTTGTGTTGAAGTTGCCATACAGTAAGTTCTCAAGCCTCATATTTGAAGCAATATAGATAACTAAGATGACTTGAGCGTAAAAGTCTAGTGAAGACTTCTTGTAGGGTCAGTCTCATACAGTATTCTTTTGGATGAGAAGTGATACAATCTCCAATGCATGTGTTGCTTCACTATTATTACATGTTTGCCAAATTAGTAGGACTAATTAATTCAATTTATATAATCAGCATATCAAGTATAGACGATTCAGGAATTGAATATAACATGAGTAATTTTTAATTGAATACATTTATTTGCTATAAGGCCGAATCATATAAATATATGTTTCACATCTAGTCAATTTTTTCATAGTGGATGTGAAACATTCTTTTAGCTTGGCCTTTTTGTAAACATTAAATGCTTGGATGCATGTAGACCTTGCTCATACCCCACAATGGATGCATTTTTGATAATTAGCAGAAACCCAGTTAGAAATTATGTATTTTCATATGTTGCTTGTATCTTTATTATCTATAAACTTTTTGACAAATTAACTACAAACTTGATTTTTAATCAAATAATTTTATAGAATTTAAAACTTTGATAAATCATCATACTCTCAAATGGATTTCATGATGGATAGTCTGCCATTTTGAATATTTTGAGTGTTCAGTACCAAATATATCGATTGCTGCAATATTCACTATATAATCTGATAATTGTATTATACTATTATATTTGCATGTTAAAAACTTCAGAGTTATATTTCTTGAGCATATACATATATTATTGTAAAATTGGTAAAAGACATTGCTAGTGACATATGTTCAGTCCCTCTCATATTTATAATTCAAGACAAACCGTATAAGTTCTTATTTCTGTATGAAATATCACAAATTGTTTTAGGTCATGCTCAAGATATATGAACTGGGTTATTGTTGTGAACATATGTGCTACCTCTATTTTATTGCATGTGGTTAGCCCGTTACGCAGTTAATTATTATTACACTATTATTATTATAATGTCAATTGCCAAACGGTTATTTTTAGCTATAGTTTTATGTTTAGCCATAGATGTGTGTTTTATTTTAGCTGTATATAGGTTTGTTTTAAGTTTAGGCCCAGGGATTGAATCCTCGATTGCCATGCCATCATCAATTTTATGTGTAGTTGCTAAGGTAACGGGAGTGCATAGCAACTAGTGATCCAATCCCTGGGCCAGTTGTTAGAATTAAATATTGTGTACAACTATGTGTTTATTATAACTGTTAATCAAAATATGCATGACATTATTTTATTATTGTATTGAATTAAGGGAACTAATGGTCACATTTATTTTATATATCAATATATTTTAAATATTATATAATAATTGATGTTGAGCGTTTTTATTACCATGTTTAATAGGAGAGAGTGTATGAGAAATTCATCAGATGAGATTAAGTTTATCACAATTTGGGTGCAACGTTTTATGCTCAACCTAATGTTTTGTAAAAAAAGAAATATGTTGATTTTGAAATACGTTCATTGTTAAGCAGAACATCCTGAAAAGTGACACACTTTTTCTGTTATTTAGATCATGTATATGTTTCTCACAATCTTTTCTATTTGGAATTATGACACATGAGTGTGGAGGCTTCTGATTTCAGAAAAAGTGTGACAGTTTTCTAAGTTTTGTTAATAACAAAGTCAACATGATCTTGGCTTTCAAATGATTGCAAATATCAATATTTATGACTACTAGAGTGCTGATCTTGGCCAGCAAATTCAGCTTCAAATTTTAATTATATGCTTCGTTTTAAGAATACTTTTACTGAACAATCAATTTAATTTTTTATTTCTGTTTTAATAGGGACATGAGTCAGTTATTAAAGTTAGTTGATTTTGCTAGCCAGGATCTTTAATGTATTATTTTCATGTCATGATATTTTGAAAGTATTTTCTTGTCATGATATTTTGATTCTTCACAAGAGTTTTGTGAAATTATCAACACCAAATTGATTCAATGTATAACTATAAAATACATGTTGTTATTCTATGTTAATTTTGCTTTAAATATTTAACTACACTGTGTGACAGTGTTGAAAACTATGGTTCTGTTTTTATATTGTATTTATTTTACGTAGTTATGTACTAGACAGTGATATAAAGTTAAGAAAAAAACAAAAATGTAAAAAAAAGTATATGAAGGATATTCTGACAGTTTGACGGAAACTCAACCGGTGTTTGTTGGAGTTGAATTTAAACGATGAGGTTCATCGAAGTGTATATGAATATTTAGTGGTGTTATTATATGCTATATTTTACCACAAGTATTGTACAGTAGGTCTCTGTCAAATAAGTCAAAATACGCAATGTTGCAAAGTATTAATGCGAAATGTAGGAATGGCTCTTGGTCAGTGGCAAATGGAAACTTAAAACTCAGCAAAAATTCAGCTACAAAAATCAATAAGTTTGGACATTAAAATAAATGTACACGAGTCCCATTTTGGGTCCCTTCAGATATGTGTTCACTTAACATTCCTTCGTGATATTGAAATCACTGAAAAGAAGTAAACATATGTTGGTTTTAATTTCCGGTTGCCTGACCTGGGAGAGTTTTTTTGTAATCTCACTCATGAATGACAGTGTTGGTTAAAGCAAAGCTTAGGACCATTAATTCCAAAGAATTTTATTTTTAATACTTAACTCATGGTAATGTAGAATATTTTATACAGATACAGATATAGCTAGTTTTTGTTTGGGGTTTTGCTACCAATTGTTATGAGATTTCAATTAAGAGATCTCTTCCATATTTTATACACAAAATTAAGCGATTTGCACCTTTATACAAACTGTTCTTAAAAATTAAAAAAAAACTTTTATACTTAACTGTTAATTTGGTCAAAAATTGTTAAAATGATAAAATGCTTGGCTGATTTTTCTAGAAGAAGGGTGATGTATTTCTGACCCTTATATCATGTTACAAAACAGTATAACAGTGTATCTGCTATATAGTGTAGAGGTCCTTTTTACATCATTCACCAAAAGTGTATTTTCCATTTAGATTTGCCATAAAACATTTTTAAACATTAAAGTCACATATTTTCATATAACTTGCAGGTTAAGTGCATTCTCCGAACTGCAGATGAAGGTTAAGGCCAGTTTCTCTGCGGTTCAAAGAATGACATGATTATTGTATTATTCTTACTATATAATGCAGCTTCATATTAACTCTAGAAATGATTTATAAAAAATAATGTTATTGGTAGGTTACATCAAACCATTTACATATTACTACTTCATACAGTATATAAAGTTATAGAAATCTCACTCTGGCAATATTTATGAAATGTTCGCTACCATAGCAACTGTTGTTAGGTAATATTGTTGAATGTTGTCTGGTAGTTATGCAGGGTACATGTTGTATAGTGTGTATTGTGAGTATATATAAAACAAAAAGAAAGTGAAGGAAGTGCCAATCTTTAGTATGAGAATAAAATGTGTGCATATCTGTTTATTTAAGCACATTTAAGCTTAACTTTATATATACTCGCAATGATAATTGTAAAGAGCATGTTTAGTCGTAACCTTAGCACTTGTAAATAATCCTCAGAAATTCTTGGGAAAATTTTGGAATGCTGTAACCTTTAGATAAAAATTGGTTAATTATCACGTTGTGAGGAAAATCTTTGACGGCTTACCTGTAATATTTCACCAGGTTTTCATTTGAAACCCGACAGCTGATCTAGGGTTGCTACGATTAACAGATTACATCCGTACAATTTCAGAAAGAGAAAAACTGATATCCCCTTGTGAAATATTCATGTGATTCATCTTTTTGCTTATTAAATTTCCTTTTTGAGACAATCTCAAAGAAATCTTAAAGAAATCTAATATTCTGATGCCATATCAGTTAATACAGATTGCCTTGTTTTGTCTTGCCAGATCTGATTTGTTGCCAGATTTACACCTGTTTTGCCAGATTTCTATCATTGTTGCTATTTCATTTTGTAAATATTTCAAGAAAACTATGGTGATAATTGTCACTTCATGTTACTTTTTATTATCTGTCTCATTATTATTTTTTGTTTTCACTGTATATCTGATATAATGATCCTTGGTGTATCAACTAAAATTAACCGACTCAGAGTAGAAAAAATTATTAAAAGTGTCACATAACATTATGCACTCATCTCGGACCGAACATTTATTATTTTAAAATCTTTTTTAAATAATGTGGCAATATGTCTTTTTTTACTCGGAACTTCGAAAATCAGATTGCATTTTGGGGGTGTAGGCCAATCATAAAATGAAATGTAAGTTTAGGCTACCCATATAATATTAATTGGAAGTTTGGGCTATTTAATTAAAGTTAGATACAAGTTTAGACTATTCATTTAAAAGGAAATTCAAGACCAAATATTTATTATCAAATCCCCAATTAAATAACATAAACCCTTGAAACGTTGTGTGCCTGGTATTTTTGAGAGAATCTTTTACTAACATCGGTACAATCACAAAATTTAATCTTAAGATTTGTGGAATTAAATAATGCACAGTTTTCTCATATTTTTGTCCATTAGCTTATGCAATGTAATGTAAATCTGTATGCACAAGTTTCATTTTGTAAAATTCCTTGCCATTTCTAAATTGTTATTATTAGATACTAAAGCATTTACAAGTATTATATTAGTATACACTTGCTAGTGTTGTATACACTTCCATATATAGTGCCTTTTGTATACGCATTTTGTTCAAATTACCTAGTTTCTCGCTTGAAAACTGCAATACCATAATTCATGTTAATTTATGATACTACTATAGTTATACTGGTCCTGTTGTTACCATTTTATATAATAATATGTTAAATACCATAAGATTCCATACTCAATATGTTAATCAACATGTTTTTCAACATGAAAAATTATTTAATATTTGTGCCGTTACCTTGGTAACCAAAAAAAGTAAAAAAAAGTAAAAAATATAGTAATGTAATCGTTGTTTTATTTTATATACTCAAACTGCAAAGTGATTCAAACAAAATGTTAAACAGTTTTATATTTCTATCCTAGTTTGTCATTAAATTTTCATATTTTTGTTATTTCGAGTTGGAGATGTTTTGTTGGAGTTTATGAAGTTCACATGTGATGTGACTTAAGGAGAATGTTAGTAAAATACTTCAGTATTCTGGTAGCAGGTTTATTCACATGTGTTTATGCTGATTTGATTTCTAAAAATATATATCCTTTCTGATCATTGTAATCAATGCAATGAACATTGCTCTAAATGAAATATTTAAAAATGAAAATAGTATTGGTATATTTCCAAGGGTAAAGCTACTCAGCCTAATTCATTGATTTCTTGTTAATTCCTCTGTATTTCATGTTTCGAGACATGATTTTTTCCAGGTATGCTCTCTTATCAGTGATACTGATACTAAGAGAGCAGGATTCATACGTCATTTACCAACATGTTTTTAAAACACTTATCAAATAGGTTATGTCGTTCTGACCACATTGTATGTCATGTCGAGAAATAATCTATCAATTCAAATATGTAAGGGGTTGTAATTCCTGAATTTGTCATCGTCATTATTGAGTAACTGAGATTGAAAATTCATAATGTTATGGTGACCCTTCACATTTTGATTCGGCTTACGTGATTAGCTCAAGTGTATAACAAGGCATTAACATGACAAAATGTCACCACCTAGTTGCTCACAATATTATGAGTTCAAACTTAAGTCAGATTTGAATTTCTGATAACTTGTAAAGTCAAATTTGAACTTCTGAAAAGATGAAGATGATTTTGAAAAAAAAATTTGGTCAATTTGAAGCAAGTTGAAAAAAGACCTTTTTGACCTTTTTTGACCTTGAGAAGGTCATTAAAGGTCAAATGTCAAATCTAAAGTCAGATTTGAATTTCTGAGAACATGTAGATGATTTTGAAAAAAAAAATTAGTCAATTTGAAGCAAGTTGAAAAAAGACCTTTTTGACCTTTTTTTGACCTTGAGAAGGTCATTGAAGGTCAAATGTCAAATCTAAAGTCATATTTGAATTTCTGAGAACATGTAGATGATTTTGAAAAAAAATTTAGTCAATTTGAAGCAAGATGAAAAAATACCTTTTTGACCTTTTTTGACATTGAGAAGGTCATTGAAGGTCAAATGTCAAATCTAAAGTCAGATTTGAATTTCTGAGAACATGTAGATGATTTTGAAAAAAAAATTTAGTCAATTTGAAGCAAGTTGAAAAAAGACCTTTTTGACCTTTTTTGACTTTGAGAAGGTCATTGAAGGTCAAATGTCAAATCTTAAGTCAAATCTAAAGTCAGATTTGAATTTCTGAGAACACGTAGATGATTTTGAAAATTTTTTTAGTCAATTTGAAGCAAGTTGAAAACAGACCTTTTTGACCTTTTTTGACCTTGAGAAGGTCATTGAAGGTCAAATGTCAAATCTTAAGTCAAATCTTAAGTCAGATTTGAATTTCTGGGAACACGTAGATGATTTTGAAAAAAAAATTTAGTCAATTTGTCTGCAAGTTGAAAACAGACCTTTTTGACCTTTTTTGACCTTGAGAAGGTCATTGAAGGTCAAATGTCAAATCTAAAGTCAGATTTGAATTTCTGAGAACACGTAGATGATTTTGAAAAAAAAATTTAGTCAATTTGAAGCAAGTTGAAAACAGACCTTTTTGACCTTTTTTTTACCTTGAGAAGGTCATTGAAGGTCAAATGTCAAATCTTAAGTCAGATTTGAATTTCTGAGAACACGTAGATGATTTTGAAAAAAAAATTTAGTCAATTTGAAGCAAGTTGAAAACAGACCTTTTTGACCTTTTTTGACCTTGAGAAGGTCATTGAAGGTCAAATGTCAAATCTAAAGTCAGATTTGAAGGTCAAATGTCAAATCTAAAGTCAGATTTGAATTTCTGAGAACATGTAGATGATTTTGAAAAAAAATTTAGTCAATGTGAAGCAAGTTGAGAAAAGACCTTTTTGACCTTGAGAAGGTCATTGAAGGTCAAATGTCAAATCTAAAGTCAGATTTGAACTTCTGAGAACATGTAGATGATTTAGAAAAAAATTGAAGTCAGTCTAAACAGTATTTGTTAAGTTATAGGAAGTTGTAAGAAATTGTTACAGACGCCAACCGCCGGACGCCAACCACCAACCACCAACCGCCGGACGCCGTCGCAAAAAAACGGAGACCATAACAATATGTCACCACTTTTGGTGGTGACATAATAAACCATTTTACAATCATTTGATATTATATTATTCTGAAAATCACAACCTACCAAACCAATTCGTGTGTACCAGGTTCCATCGGTTCTGTCAGTTGCAAAGGAAGGTTCAAGACAAAGGGGTGCGGTTATCTCAATCACCAAACCCGCCATCACAATTCATAAGCGGACGTGTATTTTGAATGGCAAAAACCATGAAACAGAAGCAATGTTGCGAGCATTTAAACAATTGAAATGACAAAGTATACTTAATAAAAATGATCTCATTAAATTTAGATATATTCTCCTAGTCAATTTATGTCCTCGTACAATAGTTTGATTTTTACTAAAACATACTACAAAGTCTAGAATCAAAATGGATGCTTCATTGAGGCAAAATGTGAAATACACAATTTTGTGGATGCGTATAACACGAAGTGCAGCTAAAATACAAAATCAGTGATTATGAAAATTGTTCCAATTATGGATGGAAATTAATTTGCCAAGCATATGCGAAGTTGAAAAAAATTTAGACATTATTATGACAAATTACGTGTATCAACTCATTTCTGCTAAAATCTTCCTGAGTTATTTATTTCATGTTAACTACAGCATTACAGCCTAGTCATTATTTTACTATCCCCTAGTTGTGATTTTCAGAATGATAATATACTGTTGGTTAGATAAGTGAATACATAAGTAAATGGTATACTTAAGAAGTCCTACGTGTCGGGTATTAATCATGGGTAGGATTGTAATAATTTAAACTAATTGATGGGGATGACGCTAAACTACTTAAGAGGTTCTTGATGGATATCTGACTCACATTTTCTCTTATTACATGCATCAACAAATCAAATTACTGTTAATGATTGAAATGATGAAACTTATGAAAATCTTTGAAAATTCGGATCAATTTTGGTTTTGTTGCCAGAGAGTATATGTGAAATTTGTATGAAAAAGGGTCACTATTCAAGTTTACACTTCCATTTCTATATCATAAGAAATAAAGAAAATGACTTCCACTATTCACGCTTCAATTTATGGGTTTAACAAATGAAAATCCACTCATCTACTAAATGCATGTGATTATACCTGCCACAAATTATGTGCCTACACCACACTATTCCATTTAATTATTTTTATTATACGATACATGACACACTTATATCTCATAAAGCAAGATTTGATTTTGTGATATTGTTGTAACAAATAAACTGATATTCCTAAATTCTAATAAATTAAACTTTAAAAATCGCAATTTATCAAATCAATAATCAAAAAATAGCTGATGAGGAGAAATTTCCAAATGTCACTTGGTTTCAGAAAATATTTGATTTATTATTAATTTACTGGTGAGGGGTTGAGGGGTGTGTAAGTGACTTGATACAATTCATTCACGGACTTAATCAGCATTTATAGATGTCAATTATACACCATAATTCGCATATACACCGTATGTGTTACCCAATATGATTATGTACCAACCAATATTATTATATTATACTGCAATAATTCTTATACATGGTTATTCTCATAATATATGCTATATTTGTAGAGTTATGTACTCATATTTAACCAGTGTAAAAATACAACAATTTATATTGATGAATAACATATTAATGCTGTATGTAGGTTTTGAATAGGAAATGTTCACAAACTGTAAAATATATTTCTAGGCTGTTTTGAATTTCACCAAATATTGCGTTTTTGGTTGTTCACATAATTGGTGGAATATAAAAATATTTTCAAAAATCACTTGTGGAGAGTGAGAAACGTTTGTTATTATGTTTTGTGTCAGTGTTGTAAGCAATTTAGGGACCAGATCTAATATAAATTCTCATTTTTGTGCAACGAGTTAATTTAGAGGGTGGCGGGTGGAGGTAAAAAGCCATGATGCATACTGTACATTCATAAATTTAACATTGAGTGAACTTAATTTCAATGTTAGTAAGATTTCATGAACAGCGGGGAGAAGTCTGATAAAAATTGACATTTTGACCTGGTCCCTTTTACCATATATGGTAAAATAGATGTAGACATACTATATATGGTATGATAAATACCTGTAAGAATCATGTATTGTAACTTAGATATTCAATTTTGTAACATTGAAACTGGTAAAAACAAACTATGATTGACATGAAACAATTGGGTATACTATTTGAAAGCTTAATTTTATTAACTTAAAAACTGTACACTTTCTTCCATGTTTGAGGAATTGAGAGACACAATATTTCTATAGAGGTTGATATTGTATTGTTAGCTTTTAGTACAGTATTTTTTTGTTATATTATTTGGTGCTTTGAATATACACTTTTAAACTGGCTTATCAACAAATATAGGGTATCCCAGAAATTAAAACACATTTGCAGCTAAAATGGTAAAAACATGTGTGCAGCATCCCAGCAGGTTTTCAACTGTTTAAGCATTTTGTTAAAAAATCATTTTGTTAGGAACATTTAAAAAGTAATCTTTATAAAAATCTGAAGCTGGTATCTACATGAATAAACTCGGCTCAGAATCGCACAAAATTGTACCACTTATGATGGGCTTTTCAAAAGTGTATAGATGGCACTCATTATCACATGTAATTGTGAATCAATTTGAAAACAAATTCAACTCTACTATGATATGGCCACCTTGATTTCTGGTACACCCTGTATAATGTCAATACTCTGGGTTTTGATACACTGACGTTTAATTGTTGAAAGGTTCTAACTTGTTATATAATTATTGAGACTCATTTTGATTTGGTGATTTTTTGGGTGCTATATTTTCTGGTATATGGAGAGTTTCAATGCCTGATTATGGACTTTAGAAACGTTCATGTCGGAAATGTTTGATCTCGCCTTAAGAGGCCCTTTGATATTTTGGAAGTTTAGGCTTGCAAAAAAAGAAAATTGTATTAGCTGTTTTTGTACATACATGTCAGATCCATAGCAGTTTAACAAATCAAATAAACCAAACTGGTTTAAAAAATCTCCATACCCTGGCAAGTCTTGCATGTATACCACCATAGTGCCTAAATGACGTCCACAATTTTTTAAAGTTTTTTTTAAATTAATTTTTGCCTTGGGTGTTTTGAAAGAACTCTTCAATTATCACACACCACATCTGCCTACCTAATTTTTTTTACTAAAGTTGTTCAATAGATTCAACCCAGAACATATCTCGTATGTCTATTATGCAGCCATCTGACATTCTACTCATCCTGTTAAAAATGTTGATATCTTGTTGAAGTTACCATTACCAATGTACCAAGTGTATTGCATTTACTTTGGTCATGACAGAAAATGCAAGTCACATAACACTGTTAATGTGTTCACTTTAGACTAAAGCGTCTACTTGGTCAATGGTCATGCATTCTTACTTTCTGACTATTTTAGGCAAAGACCTTGAATACTAGTACATAAAATGCAACTCTTAATTTATGTGGAAATGTCATTTGCATGACCCAGCCTCTGATTGGTTAAACATATCAAAAATGGGTTGCCAATAAAATGTCAAACATGAGAATTTGTGAAAGAAAACATGACCAAAGTTGCTTTTTAAATTTGGGCTGTTCTGTTATTAGTGTATTTTTTTATACAGGGTGTTAAATTTGAATATATATTTGTTCATTTTATTGCCAATTGAGATAACATTTTCTTTTGTGAAAAAGTTCCTAAGTACAGCACAATCATTTTATACATTTCAAGTATTTGAAAACCATGTATGTTTTAATATTAAGAAACATCTGATAGTAACTGTTGTTTTATATTTTTGCAAAATAATTGAAATTTTAAATTTGTAAACGTGTCATTCTCCTTAAGATCTCCCCTCAATGGTGTCTGAGAAATCAACCATTTTGGAAATGTATGTGTAGATGTTAAGTTAGACTCTTACAAATTAATTGTCTGTTAACCTGTACCCGCCTTGACATCAAAATCCTCCCTTGTCAAACATTAAGGAATTTTCTTAAATTTTGACATATATATTTCCCATTTTAGGGTAAAGAAAGAAGTATGGTCACCTTGTCATTTCCAGAAAAAATGAAGTTATACAGACATTTAACTTGTATGGGCCTTATGTAATCAAGTAATGTATGATGAAATATTATTACAATTATATATAATCATTATTTATCACCAGGTCTTGTTATATTAAACTATGTAAATTGTATTCAATATTCAATATAAAAAAGTATTTTTGTTTGCTTCAAATTTGTGTTGTGTTTTGTTAATTGTTGGGAATTGGCAGATGCAGAGATTACTTTTATATTAAGCTTTTGAGCTCAGTGTTCTTCCCATAGTTCTAACTCTTTACAATAGTTTTGATTTGATTTCTTTAAAAGCTTCCTCTAATAGAAGGCTCTGATCAGTTAAAAATAAACATTTCACCCTGGACATTTTACCCCTGCACCCCTTAAGATGTTTTACATCTGTGACCTTTTCGCATTTGGATGGTTCACCCATTAGATATTTCACCCCAATATTTGGTGAGACTTCCAGGGGTTGGATGAAACCAGGGGTGAACGAACCAAATGTGAAACATCATGATACTTGTTGACCTTCAGTGTACAAAGTGTACAGTGTTTTCATTCAAACAAACTGATAAGACTTATTTTCCCAACATGTCCAAGAGGAGGGAAAGCCCCAGAAATTTAGAGATGCCACATAATTAAGTCTCTTTCTCAACACCTTTTGTCAGAATTTTCACCAGCTAGTTTCCGAATACAAAATGTAGTGATGTTTTAATCAATATTAGCATATATCGTACATGTTTCTTCATCTTAATGTAAAATGAGAAGCTATAGGAAATTAACATAATATTATTCAAAATGTGATTAGAAAATTTTGAAACCCCCACTTTTTGTCTGCCGATTTGACCAATCACTGACGATGTCTTTTCAATACAGATTTACATTACATGTTATAGACATATGTCTTCTTCGGACCCTGGGGTTATTCCCCCTCTTATATCCCCTGAACTGAAGTAAACAGATGCTGGAACCAGTATATTATGTCACCACCACAAGTCAAGTGATATATTAAAGTTTCCAACTTTCCGGGCTGTAAAAATTTGCAATAACTTACAAGGTGGTGACACTTCGTTTGATGTGTTAATGCCTTGTATACATGTGTTATATCCTACATGTATCCACTAATAACCCATTACCAGTGATATCCCCTATCTTCAAGTAAACAGATGCTTAGATCAGTTTATATACATGAATGCAAAGATGAAATAAATGGAGCATAGTTTAATTGCATAGCTGCTTTTCTAACACCTATTCTATTCTGTATAACTGTTCAGTTTTAAACAAAGTAAACTGTAGTACTACTCACTTGATGGCATTTGGCCAGTGATAATAAGATGAAATAATGGGCCAAAAATAATAATGTATCATTTCACTTCCTCTATTTTCAATCATTTGTTTTCTACATAAAAAGTACACATAATACGAGATATAGTTTTTTTGAGTATCCGACCTCTCATAATGCCAGCTTAGAGAATGCCAGACCTCTCATTTTGCTGGATTAAAATTGTGTCAAATTACTTGTAGAGCCTGGGCCCTCATAGTGTCAGTCCTCTCATAGCACAAGATTTTAAGAGTGCTGGACCTCACATAGCAAAAGAATGGCGATTAAAAGAGAGCCTGAATTCTTGTAGTGCCAGACTTTTAAGTGTCAGTCCTCTCATAGCATAAGATTACAGTGCTGGACCTCTCTTTCTGCCAGACCATACTTGTTCCATAAAAGCTTGACTTTCTATTCTCTGTCCAATACATGAATAAAGACCAGCATATAAAAATATAAATTGTTATTATTATGCTATTGTTTGATTCTGTAAATATTCTTGTAAATGTCTACAGAAATGATTTAGTGGGAAACCCATGACATTGTAGTAGTCCCCATGGATGGATTCCACTAGAGAGCCGCCAATACCTTGGATGCCATAACCACCTGCTTTACCCCTGAAAACACAGACTTTTACATGAGAATTATAGAAATAATCATTGCACAGGCAAATTCAGTGGACATTGTATAAGTTCTGATGACTGCTTATGCTACACTAGTGTTATTGAGTTATTACTAAATGTAAACCTGAATTGATTTGTTTCCCTCTCTCTAGAAAATGAATAACTGCTCAAGAAATGTGAAAGTTCTCAAGCTTCAATTTTCAAATATGATCAATGCTAGATGTACTCTGACCCCCTCCCACACTCCTTCCTGTTCACTAAACCAGACATGGCCATATATAAACTTAATGGATGATTTCAATTTTTCTAATAGGCTGACCATTCATTGTCAATAACATTACTACTTATGAGAGTGTTTAAAGTGATACTTACATAGGTTCACCGGTGTCAATGTAACCCTGTATGACATCTGATGTCATTGTAGAAAATGTGACATCAGTGGCATCATGGAATGTATTTATTTGATCAGCACCTAAATTAAAATTGCATTTGATAAAAATAACAACATTTTTAAATATGGGACATTCAAAATAACAATAACTAGACTCTGGATCTTTTTCTGGATCTATTAACGGCAGTTACCATAATCTCGAAATGGCAGACAAGAACCAATGATATTGAACTTTTTCAAATCCAACAATTTTAACCAATTTCCATGAATATTTAGCTTTGCAATTCCAGCCATGTCAAGATTACGATTACATGTTACTAAAACTCCAAAGAGTGCTCTTTATCTTGTGTGTGTATACCCATTCAATATAAAAGCTTTGGACCTGCTGGTATCTTTTACATTGTCCACTCAATCCACTCCAATTTAAAATATTATGGATGGACAGACAGACAGATGGATGGAGGCATTCTCTATATTTCACATTTCACTGTTTTCATTTTATTTCAAATTTAACAGTTTCTTGAAATTTTATCTTGAAGAGTTATCAAAGATGCTACTGCTATGTACATTTTTGTAATAGTAGTCCACTCAAATACTTGATTGTTATGAAATCCCTATCGAATAAACTGATAAAGTACAGTACTCAAGGTAAAGGTAACATGTTAAAATCTGATGTCTCAAAGTGTAGTAAGAGCACACATTAATCATAATTCAAATGTTCCCCCTCTTTCCAAAGAATGGCATTCATATGTATACTTCTATACCTTTATTATCAGTTGAGCAGTTGTCAGCCTGGTTGTAGATGATGCAAACTCCAGTATACACAGTCTGAGTTCTTCCGCTAAACCTGCATTAAATGTAAATTAGTGTACATAATATCCATTCATGTAAAGGATGAGAGGGGCTACAGTCCTCATACTTTATAGTGTGACACAAACATTGAACAGAATTTGGGGAGATGGCATTTTAATTCCATTTATGAATCAAGATATTTTAATCAGGTCTAATCAGGATTTTTACTGGAAGTTGGACAGGAAATAACTGACCATGGCAGAAAAAGATATTGTACCCTGGGACTTGCAATGGTTTATATTATGGTCCACAGGTGTGGAAAATGAAGCCAATTCTGTTTTGATTTGTGCCCCCCCCCCCTCTCCCTCTCTTATATAATGCAATTACATGTATAAAATGATAATTTGTCTTCTAAATCTCTTCTTTGTATCATAGACCTTTCAAATAACTTATAAAACCATGGGCTTTCAATTAGATTCGTCTTCCACTTGAACCTTCAACAAAAGTCAACACTCTTTGCAAATGACATTATCATTTACCCCCTCCCACCAATGGAACTTAAGTTTACTCTTTCACAACTGTTGATAATTGGACAACACCTCTAACTTATGGCGGATTCTTTTATATAAGGGTGCATTCATTATACATGTATACATTTATAGGCATTCTGAATTTCTGATAACGTAACTCCATTGCCGTAGTGAAACATATCATGTTATCATGAATTTCAAAATGCTTAAAATGCATAACATATTTACAAATTACCTTGTAAGCATTTCAAATGCATCTTTATCGTCCTCTGGTTTACCATATATGGTATCGTCTAACGTCACCACAGTATCGGCTGCAATAATAACATCCGGAATCTCGTCACAATTCTGAAATTAATTCAAAATTCTTATTCTGATCTGGTAAGATGTTGGTACACTCTGTAAGAAAAAATAAAAATGAAAGGCCTTTCGTTATATGGCCAATGGGCATTTTCTTGAAAGTACATTTTTAAACAATGTCACCCATTAGCATTTATTTTGAAGAAAATTTTTTGATCAATAATTGTGTTAGGTCAGACTGAAAGGTAACTTCTCATAAATATATTTAACAATTTATTTTTGCTCTTTCAGAGCAACATTTCAATGGCAACATGTTAAATCCTCAAAATGACTTCAGTACAGAATAAATCAACATTTATTTGAAGATGAAAAAAATGATGTTAGAACATCATATACACTTAAAAATGCATCTAATTCCCCTTATATGATAAACATCTGAAAATGATCCCTAAATAGTCGATTGATGTCATTTTTATTCAAATAAATGCTAGATGTGCTGACATGTGATATATTATTGTATGTACTCAGTTTATGAAACATTGCAATAAGGAGCACATTGCACTGACCTGTCATGTTTGAGAGTTGGGGAGGAATTGTCTTACCTCTGTGTTTTCACTGTAGCTTTTAAATACATCAAGAGCCTTTCCCTTTGCAGTGGCTTTTGCATATTCATAAGGATGTTTAAAAGCTGCTTTATCCAAGTTTTCCTCGAACTTCGATGGCACAGCTTTAAACTTCAAACCCTGAAATGAAAATTAACTCATTGCTGGCCAAAGTTATTTTTGTAAGTTTTCTGCTGGTGACTGGCAATTTTGATGGAAAATTGATCATTTGCATGACAGAATATGTCAAGCAAATAAGCATTTGCCTGATAATTGTCAAGCAAAAATATTTTTATATTACCCTTATTTATTGGGCACATTTTCTGAAAAATTCAAAAGATTCTGTTCAGTGACCTTTTTAAGCGCCTACTTGTAGCTATTGTTCAGTCACATTTTCAGAGGGCTGAAAAAGTAATTTCATCATAATATGTTTTGGTCATTCTGACAATGTACATTGTGATCCTGGTCATGTAAATGATATGTGGAACTACGTTAAACTGACTGGAGGTCAAAACAGAACTCCGTTATCTTGGTTCAAAAAATTTTTGAAATCCAGCATTGTTTTGTCACTTCCTGTTTTGTCATTTCCTGTCTCGTACCACGGCACCTTAATGTATCGTTCATTAATTTTTTTGAAGTTCTACAGAAATATTTTTATCGTACATGTATGCTATGACCCCACCTACGTTGTGGACTATAAGTCCTGGAATTGGATAGAAATATTTTTGCTTGACAATTATCAGGCAATGCGTATTTGCTTGACATATTCTGTCATGCAAAAAAAGCTGGCGTGACTTCAATTTCTTCAGCAAATGCATGACAAATATGCAAATTGTGGGACAGCTGGATGGCCTGGAATTGAAGATAAGATAACACCGGCTTGTAGGCGTAGCCTTTTGATAGAGCCCATGGCATATGTACCCTTAAGGCTTATGCTCTCAGTCTAATTTCAGTGGGTGGTTGTACCAATGGTCATCCAACCTGTTCTTGAACTGGTCAACACTTCTTGTGTGGATAACATATTCAGGCAGTTTGTTTCAGGGTGCGGTCTCGTGTTTAGTCTACAGTGTTGTCGTTTCAAGTACATTGTGTCTCCTCTTGTTGGCTGTCTTGTTATATACTAAAGTCCATATCACTGCTTCATTTCGTCAGTAGAACGGCAAAAATAAGAAATTGGGAGACCATTGTGCAATAATATATGGAAAAGTATATTCATACATGTAATGTACATGAATGACATTTGTATATCTTGGATTGCTTCTAGTTTGGCTTATAAAGTGTGTGGCCTCTTATATTTGGATGTTTCTCTGCCATGTTATTTTCAATAAGATTAACATGGCTGAAATTCTTCAAATTACAAGACGGCACAGGCTTAGCACAAAAAACGAAAAAATCTGAAATATACAAATGTCATTCATGTACATTATGAATATACTTTTCCATATATTATTGCACAATGATCTCCCAATTTCTTATTTTTGCCGTTCTACTGATGAAATGAAGCAGTGAAATGGACTTTAGTAGTTCAATTGTGGAAAAATAGTCTTGGGGTTGATGTCATTCATAGAATCGTTCAAGATCTTGTACAGCTAGCTCAATTATATCTCCTCGTATACCTCCTAAATGCCAATGTTGTCACGTCAAGTGTGGCCACTGGCTAGTCTTTAGGGATATGTTAATTGCCTGAGGTTTGGTAAAAGTCTAGTTGCTCTCCTCTGTATATTTTCAATGGAGTCAATGGGTCTTATACTGTGGGCTCCAAACTGAGTTCCCATACTTGAATGCAGGTTTTAGATGTGTTGGGATAAAATAATCGAAAATTGAACTCAATATTGAACTAACTTAGGCAGATTTCCATTTGTAAACCCAGTGTTTATACTGAGACATTATGGGAGTACATGTACATTTATCCCGTTCCAGGACTATAGTCCTGTACGGAGCCAATACATTTGCCAGTACGATTACAACTTGGGAGAATTATCTACGCCCCTTCCACTTAAGAAACCTACCTCAATGCATTCTACAACTCAAAATGTAACTTCTAATATATTGGAACCGCAGATTGTCTGGGTTAGTTGGCAGAACGAGGTCTTTTTGTTTCTTATGGCTCTTTTGGTCGAAGTTCGATTAAGATGGCGGTTATAACGGAATTTCCCGAACTCTTCCGTAATAGCACGAACTTGGTTTTTCGTTACTTCACTTCCATGTAAAATGGATTTGTTTCCGGTAAGAAACATTGTTTAACTATTCGGTATACAGTTAAGAGCATAGGATGTCGACATGGCAGTAAATATTGAAAATATTGTCCGAAATTTTCGAAATTCCCTCTTACCCGAAACAAATCCATTTTACACGGAAGTGACGTAACGAAAAACCAAGTTCGTGCTATTACGGAAGAGTTCGGGAAATTCCGTTATAACCGCCATCTTAATCGAACTTCGACCAAAAGAGCCATAAGAAACAAAAAGACCTCGTTCTGCCAACTAACCCAGACAATCGGCGGTTCCAATATATTAGAAGTTACATTTTGAGTTGTAGAATGCATTGAGGTAGGTTTCTTAAGTGGAAGGGGCGTAGATAATTCTCCCAAGTTGTAATCGTACAGGCAAATGTATTGGCTCCGTACAGGACTATAGTCCTGGAACGGGATAAATGTACATGTCATTCAATGAAGTTGACTGGTCTATTATCACCCACTCAAAATAAAATGTTGACAAGAAACGTGTTGACAGCAACTTACAACTTTTTTGAGAATTTCTACTCTCCTTGGCGATTCACTTGCTAAAACTATAGTTTTCTTAAGTAGCATTGGCAAAAGTGGTTCTAACATGATGAAGAAAACCACACTTTATCTGCCAATATGCTTTTGAGTTTTTTTTAAATCGAAATCTCGCGTCAAATCTCGTGAAATCTCGCTCTGAAAAATCTTTCTGGAAATAACAGTTTGGTTGGATTCGTTTCACTGTTTTGATCAAACCTGTGAGTTTTGGACCGTTGGATGATCGGGTATGTATTTATTATTATGTTATTACCAAACACTTTATCGTTTGTTCATTATGCATCTAGACGCAGCACTGTACGAGGGATCTGTCAACAACATAATTTTATCACGGACTCACTTTGACTTTTGCACCGGCGTTCAATGAGGGAATAGGTCTAAGAGAACAGGGAGGGGTCTGCACAATATAAGATATATCCACTGGCTATAGCAGACTTGCGTCTCTATAATAATCATATAATTCCTCCAACCAGCTTCCGGATGCATAGGCTACAAGTGTAGCTACATGTATGCTTTCCAAAGACAATAGCAGAGCTGTCAAGTGTCCCGCGAATGCTGGGATTATCCCGTGAATTTGATCAAATCTAGGCTAATTCGTGGGTCCCACAATGTCCTGCGAAGTCCCGCAAATGTCCGCTTTGACCTCCGCGAATTGCCAAAATTGTTGCAATCCCCTAGGCTATATTGTGATTATCTTGTGATATATGTAAGAAGTTAAGTTTTTTGCACTTTTGAGGAGTAAAGTTTACCTAATTTGAGAATTGCTGCCAAACTCCCAGTGCATATATCAGCTCATCGAAGACTACTTTTGGAGGAATTACTGAACGTTTTTCGTTCAGTGCCCTACACAAAAGTTGATAATCTAGTGAAAGTGGTGAGGTTCCCTATCCATCCGCCAAAAGCTATGACCCCCATATAAAAAACTGCTTATCAAAAGCATATATTATATACAATGTAAAAAGCATCGGGAAAGCACCATATAAAAAGCATTTAAAAACTGTGATTTTGATCCAAATAACACCATAGTTGGCTTCTCAAGTAAGTACCTAGTAAGTATGCCGTTATTTGGTATCAAAATAAAGAGGAAGAGTTCAACTTTCATTAGTTCCAACAAATAGTTCCAACGTTGGCCTTTCTACTACACTTTTCTGACTCCCTATAATTTTATGCAGATGAATCAAATCCCTATTAGATCTAAGTATTAATGGATAGGTACATTTTAATATATAACACTATGGTGGTAAGCGTTTCATTGTTGGTCACGAACGCCGTTACTCCAAAGTATTGTTCAGAATTTTTGAATTTCATCTTGGATTATGGTACTCACACCTGAAGCATGGTTTTGTTTTGGATAAATTACAATTAAGTTTAACAATATTTCTATATGTACATGTACTGTGTGAAATTGTATTGACGTTTATTTAAGTTAAGTGCATTATATTTGATTAATATGTGTTTCTGAAAGTTTGATTTGAGTACTTTTATATTAAGTCCCAATCACGTAAATCCCTTGTATGTCCCCCAACATCCCGCAAATTTAGGTGGATGTCCCACGAAATCCCACAAGCTTAGGGCACTTTGTCTCAAAAATCTGTTCCTCTATGAAGTCTTTGGTGGTTACTCTGTTAACTGTCCCGCAATTAGCGTGTTTGTCCCTCGAATGGTCCAGCAAAAACCCGCGAATTTTGTTCAAAATTTGGCCTATTAACGCAATCTCTTAAATGTCCTGTGAAATCCCGCAAATTTAGGATTAGGTGGATCCCGCAAAATCCCGCAAATTTAGGGCACTGGGTCTAAAAAATCTGTCCCGAGAGTAAATCTTTGGGGGTTGACAGTACTGCAATAGTAAAATGGAAAACTCTGCCTTGTGAATCAGAGAGTAGATGACTGGGCCAGACGGGATTGGTAACAAGGTAGCCTGACAGTCGTTCCAGGGTATTATAATTTAAACAAAGGGACTTCTTAGGGGTACATGTGCCAACCAAGTAGTTTCCTTTCAATTATTATTGATGTAGAAGTCAAAGATGGATAAATCATGGAATTTCAAAATTGAGGAAAAAACAGAAATATCTATTTTTGAATAGGAAACCTTCCACTCTTTTTCACTCTTATGCCATTAAGAAATTGACATTTTTCTATGTTTTTCATAACAGGTTGTGTTAAAGTGGTGTTATGCTGCATCAAAGATGAGCCTCTTTGACAGGTTTTACAGGAGCATGCTCATCACCAAGGTGTTCACAAGAGGATGGGGGAATCCAGATCATTTGAAGAGGTAACAATTTGCAAGAAAATCAATCGTAGGATTCATTACATGTTAGAAATCTGATACTACTGGTATAATATAATATATGAACAATTGACATACAAATTAACTACATGTACATGTACGACTTTTGTACAGTTAAACATTTCAAGATGGAATGCTACTAGGATTAGCCAAAAAATGTTTTGATTGGCAAGTGTTCACATTTTGAGTTTTTTAACACTGTTAATGTGAAGTATACATGTATGTCAGATTGAAATATAGAATTGAAAAAATTCAAATTGAGAGATATTCAAATAAGAGAGGTGTTTGGATAAACATGTTCTCCTGTACAACATGTTTTACTGTACCAGTACGACATGTTTTGGCTGTTCCTTGTAAGGTGATCAGGTTTTCATTTTGTGTCACCCTGTAAAATTCTGACCTAACCCATCATACATTTTGATGCCACACCTTGAGTTTTATATTGCAGGTTACTTGAGTTCCGCAGGATACTTTCCGACAGAGAGAGTTGCCGTTCCCTTGTGAAGCCGGATTATCCAGTATACATTGACAAAGTAATATGAATTTTAAATAGCAAAAACTTACTAATAAATATTATACTGTATAATATCATAGAATTGGGTGAGACATTGTATGGATGCAGGTGAAAATACATTTTACGGGATCAGAATTTTTCCTGAAAGGGTGTCTGAGATTTAATTAACTTGTAATTTTAGCGTACTTTATAAAGTACATGTAGTTCCAGATAATACAAAAAAAACAATATTTTACTAACAGAATGTCGCTTATATTATATGTGTAAAAAGGCACATTTAAAAAACATAAAAATTAGACTGCATTTTTAAAATCTGAACTTTGTTGATAATTATGTTGATTATTATTAGAAATCCACATGACACATTGGGTCATGGATTATCTTAAAGATTTGAGAAATCATCGAAAATCTTGCTTAGCCTTATTTTTATTGCTTTGCCTTGATCAGTATGTGTCATTTTTTCAGGATGAAAAGAGGAAGGATTACAGAGTTTTAGATGGACATTTCAAATCACCTTTTGTGGAACACCTTCCAGGAATAATGCCTGAAGAAGTCCAGAATGCAAAGTAAGACTTGTTTGAAGTGTTGTAAAGGTAGCTGCTCTAACATCTTGCTAGCTCGATTAATTCGATTACATTTAATTTTACTTACTCAATCTACTGTACCACTGTTTTGTAATGGATAAAAACCAGTTTGACCATGAACTTACTATATTTCGAGCTAAAATAGTAGATGTTTACTCTTGGGTTTTTAAATCTCTGCACCTGTCGAAAAGTGATCTTTGTCAAATAGCCGAATCAATTGGTGAATGATCTTGCGTTTTCATACTAAAGTTTGTTTTTGAGTTTTTTCTTATAGTTTTATGTATTTAAAGATATTTAAGAGACATGGCCCTTTTTCTAAAGCCCTTTTTAGAAAAATAATTGAGACTACACAGGATACCTGTTATTTCTGCTTTTGAACACAATTTTAATAGAAAATTCAAATTCCAAACTCCCTGTCTCACTATAATTCACCAATGGAGAATGGGAATTGAGCAACCAGACTTGGCACGAAGTTAGATCCTAGGATAAACTCTAATCTTAGGGCTTTGATTTTTTGTGATATCATATATTTGCCTAACAACCACATACCAACCGCCTAAAATAACATATTTTACAATATAAATCCACTTTATATATGCTACACCCCCAAAATGCAATCTGATTTTCGACGCCGTTTCGGTGCCAAATTTCGGTGCCGTTTCGGCACCAAATGGACTGACTAGTCCAGTAGCAAATTTTGGTGTTGAAAGGTTTCGGTGCCGGAACGGTGTCGAAACGGTGCCGGAATGGTGCCGAATTTGTTCGATGCCGAAACGGCGTCGAATTATATTGGCTGTGTAGGATCCTATAAGACCATTACAAAAAAGTATTCTTATCCTAAAATATAACAATGTTAACATATTTACAGAAGTGACACCACCATGTTACATAGCAACAACATGGCAACAGGTTACATTGCCCATTTTGACATTTGCAGACCACATATCTATTATATGTTCACTGCTTTTGGATCTCTTCCACATTATTTCTTAACATAAAGAAAATGTATCGATGCAGTTATGTCTAACCATTTTCCCGAGCAACGGCTTGAAATTAAGGTTAAATTTGCCTAGCAACGACCTTGCAACATCTTAAAATAGCAATGTTTCTCATAAGAATTTCACTATTTATCCACTATATGTACTTGAAGAAAATCAATGTATATGTCTTTTGTAATTTATAAAGCTTTATAGTTACTCACTTAAAAATCTTTAGTCTCTTGTGTAAAGCATGATGGGACATGTCTTGTCTTACGCATATCAAATTGCAATTCATGTTTCAGTTCTGAGATAAAGTAAACACGAAATATTCATCACATTGATACTTGATATTGGTGAATTGCTTCAATTTCCTTTGCAGGTGCATAGTTCGATGCAGTAGAATGTACCATGGCATTTGCGGTTCCCTTTGCAGTCACATTTGGTACATCCACATTTAATTATGACTTTACATGCCTCAGATGCTTCCAACAGTATTTTCCATCTGGGTACGCACAATCCTGATGCATTCCTAAACCATCCCAATAGACTTGGTGAAGGAAGAACTGGATCCACTATATACCATTGCCCCCATACATGTGCTTCTTGTCAAAAGGGCACCTGTAAGATCATTACATAAGTTCCATTGCTTGAAAACTGTCACCTTGCTATGATGGTAAAATCCAGATAAAATAATAATAAATCAATGTGTGCAGGGTGATGCAGGCGCAATACTTCGTGAATTATGCGTACCAGTAAGGGTGTGGAACATTGGCAGCGTAGTGCTCAAGCAAATTCATAAATTGGAGTGTAGGGTTAGTTTTGCCTTTTGAAAATGCTATGTAGATCTCAATCTGTAGCTCAGAGGCACAGGCTATTAGGCTATCACAACATTACTGTCCACCAATCTTATCATAAATGTCCTGCAACCTTTTCCGACACCATGGGACAAATCCAAAAACATATGTGTATCTGCCTCTTCCTGGGAGCAGGGACTATTATGGCACAATTAGCAGGATTACTGATGCACTCTCCTTCAATGGTTGAGACAAAGATTCTATCGTCTGCAATAATATGTCTTGTAACAGTTGCTAGTAGTGCAAGAAACTCTATCTTGTTGTCATTGTTTCTGAGAAATCCTATCCTAACACCAAACTACCAAGCAATTGGCAAGACTTTCTTGAAAGATAGAGCTCTTTGCACAATTCCTACATCTTTCAGCATCTCAAGTGGTAAAACTTGAAACTTTGAAATTAATGACTTGTATGTTTCAGCAAAGCCTAGATAGGATTTTAAGCTTTTAACAAGTATAACCTTGACCTAACGATTTAATCAGTAAAATATGGTGTCTTGATTTAAAATCTATATACTATCTAGTATTTTGAACACGCCCTGCTGGGATACATAAACCCCATATGCTGGGTTCAGTGGAATATTACTATCCAAATGTGGAAAATTAACAATGTCATGAGGCAGATACATGTTTTTGCATGTGTCTCATGGTGTCGGAAAAGGTTGCAGGACATTTATATATTGGAACTGATACCACATCTGGACTTCATCTGGACCATCAGAGCAAGGTGACAGTTTTCAAGCAATGGAACTTATGTAATGATCTAACAGGTGTCCTTTTGACTCTAGCAGATCGCCCATCAACCGTAACAATAGAAGTTATGGGCACAATCATTCTGGTTCATTATCCTGGTTTACCAGCCTACAAACAGTGAGACAAATCTCAATACCATGCGTAGGCACATGTTCACTCATGACAGATGGATCCCGATACTGTAGAGTACCTCCAACATGCGATGCAGCACTCCAAGGAGCACATGTATGGGGGCAATGGTATATAGTGGATTCAGTTCTTCCTTCACCAAACCAATGGGGATGGTTTAGGAGCGCATCAGGATTGTGCTTACCAAGATGGACAATACTGTTGCAAGCATCCGAGGCATGTAAAGTCATTATTAAATGTGGATGCACCAAATGTGACTGCAAAGGGAACTGCAAATGCCATGGTGCATTCTACTGCACTGAAACTATGCAACTGCAAAGGAAATTGTAGCAATTAATCCAAATAAAGTATTATCTTAAGGGTATCAATGCTGAAAATGTAACAAGGATAAATACGATGAATATTTTACTTTATCTCAGAACTGAAACATGAATTGCAGGACTTTTGCAATTTGATAATCATAAGACAAGAAATGTCCCATCATGCTTTACACAAGAGACTACAGATTTTTTAAGTGTGCAACAACAAAGCTTTATAAAATAAAAGACATACATATTAATTTTCTTCAAGTAAATAATAGTGGATATATAGTGAGATTTTTATGAGAAACATTGCTATTTTAAACTGTTGCTAGGTCATTGCTAGGCAAATTTAACCATTATTTAAAGCCGTTGCTAGGAAGTTGCTAGGGAAAATAGTCAGGCATAAATACAATTTCTGTATGTTAAGAAATAATGTGGAAGGGATCCAAAAGCGTACAAGTGAGTATATAATAGGAATATAGTGTGCAAATGTCAAAATAGGCACTGTTACCTGTTGCCATGTTGTTGCTATGCAACACAGTGATGTCACTTTTGAAAATATGTTTGAATTGTTGTATTTTAGGATAAGAAGACTTTTTGTAATGGTCTTATAGCATCCTAGCATATATTAAGTGGATATATATTTTAAAATATGTTATTTTAGATGGTTGCTATGTGGTTGCTAGGCAAATATATGATTTCACAAAAGATCAAACCTCTCAGATTAGAGCTTATCTTAGGGTCCAGCTTTGTGCCAAGTTTGGTTGCTCAACTTCCATTCTCCATTGGTGAATTATTGTGAGATAAGGAGTTTGAAATTTGAATTTTCTGTGAACATTGTGTTAAAAAGCAGTAATAATGGGTATCCTCTGTAATCTCAATTATTTTTCTAAAAAGGGCTTTAAAAAAGGGCCCTGTCTCTAAAATGTCTTGAAATACATAGAACAATAAGAAAAAACTCCAAAACGAACTTTAGTATGAAAACGCAAGGTCCCTATGGGGGCCTTGCACCAATTGATTCCACTAAAAGGTCACTTGATCAACAAGAAAAAATGGCAGTAGTAAAAAGAAAATAATTTAAAATTATAGATCTATATTTTTATATTAGACGGTTTCGCAGCACTCTCAAACCCTTCTCATGACATGGGACCTAAAAATACCCTGTCATTTTCGCCGACCCATTACCTAAATGTAGTTATTTTGAGAAATTCGAAAATATTGCATAGCAACAAGTTATTCAGGAAAAACCGACTTACGGCCTCATTGATTGTCATAAACCATTTTATTACTTCAATAAATAATTGTAAATACAATATAATATATTTTCCGTCAAATGGCAGTACAATAGTCAATAAATAAACTCGAAAATGAAGATATTTTAATCAATTATTCAAGATAAAAGTGCATGGCCTATTATGTCATAATAATGCGGAAAATATGAAATGGCCCACATTTGGAAAAAGGTTTGTCCAGAAAGCCAAGGAGAAGACTTCCTGAATAGAAAACACGTAGCCTATGTTTCATTCAAAACGTTTCACAAGTGATCAAGACGAGTTTCTTGATTGATTAAAATGATTATTGATGAATATGTTCTGTGATGGGATGTTAGAGCAACTACTATTAAGATTAAATGGAATGTCTGTAAGGCATCCTATATAATAGTATAGTTACATGTAACTCTAGATTATAAGATTATAAGATCATTGTGTATCTATCTTTAAGTATTATTTGTTGAGCATTTTGAATAAAAATATAAAATATAAATAATATAAATAAATCTTTAGGCTGGGAAATATCAATGTAGAAACTAGGAACCTTGAAAAGATGTGCTGACAACTTTAAAAGACAGCTGACTTAGCCTAATTCACTGTAGTGATTTGCTATCTAACTGATTTCAGGTTTCGTATGATCTTGCCCAAGGAATGGAGGAGTCATCTAAAGCCTGTCTGTATACACCTTGCAGGTACTGGAGATCATGTAAGTAGTGTACCCATATTACTCCTATGTTTTCAATAACACAGTCCCAACATTACAAAAACGCAAGAAAATTTTGATGGACATGGAAATAGAAAATCACTTCGTCCTGTGGATGCAGTGCAAGTCATATGCAAAAATCCCAACTTTGGATGAATGTATTGATATGGATCAACCTTCAGTCTCTTTATTTGGTCAAAATAAGTTAAAAATTAGATGTTCTATTTCTTCCTGGAAGTTTATTTCCGATAGAAATAGTATGAGGCATGTGATTGACAACTAGAAGATACAGTACTCGATAGAGCGGTGCAAGTCCTATGATTGGCCCTTTTAGCTGATCACATGATCATTAATTTTAAGACAAGATTTTTCGGATCCCATCAAAATTAATAGCAAATTGCTTCGAAATATGCAAAGAAGGTATCTGTATCATCCAATGACCTACAGCGCTGAATTAAGCTGATAAGTAACAAAAATGATACTAAGTCTTCATCAACTTTATTTCGTCCAGTGTAAAAATGTGACTTTGGATTTCCAAGAATCCTTTTTCACGGGACGCACTTTCGGAAAATCTAGGGACGCACTCTTGGACAAAACCTACTGAAAACACTGCACTCAAATCTAAATATTTAATTGTACGTAATTTTAAAGAGGAATTGTCAGTAAGACTATTTTGCTACCCCTTGATTTTTTTCATGTTGATATTCTCATATTTATATCTTACATAATATCAAAAGGCAATGTAACATTTGTAGTTATTAAGGTAAAGAATACAAAGTAGATGTAGATGATGAAAAATTTAAGATGATAAAAAGTTTGAGTGAAAATATGTCTTAAAGTGTTTTGATATGGGAAATAACTAAAATAATCTTAGAAAAATAAATCAATAATTAAAAATGTTGAATCTTACTAATCCTTATTTGAATTTGGCCTGGGCCTCTAGGAAGACCAGTTTTGTACTGATAGAAGTGCCCAGAATAAATGTAGTTTTCAAATCAAATCAAATTGTTTTTCAGAAATTCGGACGAAGACACAGACTGGCAGAACCTTTGTTAACCAAAAATGGAGTGGCATCCATATTTTTAGAGAATCCTTACTATGGATACAGGTGAGACCCCCACAGTTGACCAGGGATATTTTTTGATTTAAATAAGGACCCACTGCTCAGATGTTTTAAAAATTTTAAAAATACATATCAAAATAGAAATAAATTGAAATCTTAAATAAGGCAAGTTTTAAACCAGGAAGGTCTTGGAAGGATGAAAAAGACACTGATAAACATGTAAATTACTGTAGTATACAATGGACTAACTACATACACAGTTTTGCATAATTTTTCATTATTCTCTCAACTTGAACAACTTGTATAAATGAACCTTCATCCCTACATAAATTCTCATTCTGGAACAGGTTAGAAGATCTTAACTGTATTTCTAGTTCCATTTACGTAACAAAAGTGAGTTATTAAATCGATGTTTCTGTTAGTTCTCTAACATGTACATTTTCTTAGACATATGATAAAAATGTCAGATTTTCTGCCTACAATTTGTGAAATAAGGAAAATGATTTGTTTCAGTAACAGCGTAATCAATTTGTGAAATAAGGAAAATGATTTGTTTCAGTAACAGCATAATCAAGTTGCGAAATAAGGAAAATGATTTGTTTCAGTAACAGCGTAATCAATTTGTGAAATAAGGAAAATGATTTGTTTCAGTAACAGCATAATCAAGTTGCGAAATAAGGAAAATGATTTGTTTCAGTAACAGCGTAATCAAGTGGAGTACCAGTGGTATAGCTGCATGTTAATATATTTTCCAGGAAGCCAGCAGACCAAATGCGTTCCAGTCTCTTTTATGTTAGTGATCTATTTGTTATGGGTGGTGCTCTAGCCATGGAGTCCATGGCCCTGCTGCATTGGTGTGAGAGGCAGGGATATGGACCTCTTGCCCTGACTGGGGTGTCAATGGGTGGACACGTATGTGGAGTTTTTCATTTTAATACAGTAAATCCTCTCAACTTGAACACTCCTCTGAGATGAACACCTTTTAACTTGGAACTCTCCTTTAAGATGAATACCTCTCAATTTGAACTCTCTGCTAAGATAACTCTGAATCGTGACTTTGTCACGTCACAGGCTTTACTTTTATTTTCCCAATTTATGAACATCCTTAACTTTTGCTTGTCTCCTTGAATCTCCATATGAACGTTGATAACATTCCAATTATCCATTTTAAAGGAGATTGAATTATCGAATCATTGAATATTTCTCTTTTCCCAAATAGATGGCGTCACTTGCTGTTTCAACATGGCATAAACCATTACCCCTTACATCAATGTTTTCTTGGACTTCTGCATCTTCAGTATTCACCCAGGTAAGGCTATGTAACCTAATTGTCTGTTTAGCGGTAACATTTTTTGACAAAATGGCCATGGTTTGCATTTTGTATTCTATTTTTGTCAAATCACATTTATTACTTCTATTTTTATGTCACCACCAGCCTACAGGTGGTGACATAAGTTGGTGTTTGGCATAGTGCATTAGGCTTCTGTATCAAATGGCAGGTGGTGACATTTCGCCTGTTTTATTCAGTGCAGTAGCTTATTACCTTTAAATTTGACTATGATTATCTCTGTGAAACAATAAATGAAGAAAAGTATACCATTTTTCAACTGTATAATTGAATGCTAAGAAAAACGACAGTACAAAATATGGTAACGCATGCTATGGAAGTTGGGGTCAACCCAGTTGTCCGAAACCCAGTTGTCCGAAACCCAGTTGTCCGAAACCCAGTTGTCCGAAACCCAGTTCTCCGAAAATTAAAAAATTAAATGTCTTAGTAACGAATCTTGTCGCAACTTCGCGAATCAGGACAGCATTGGTATCACGTTGACATCGGTTAGCCCGGTCAATAATGGGTCCGATAGTTCACGATCATATATATATTCTTACTAGATTCTCGGCACATAGACTTATATGGACATTCTACAAATTTTGAACCGCATTGTCCAGCACGAATCGCACTCCTTCTTGGTGAAAATTCAAGACTGCCGCCAACATTTTAGACAATTATCACAGTCGAAGAGAATATTCTGGCGAAAGGAATATCTATCTCATTAGAATAACGTATGGACGTCCGTGACAATTATATATATTCATTTGATAATTTTTTTCATTCCCTTTTCTCAATAAAATAGGGTTAATTATGTTTTCCAATATCAATTGATAATATTTCTACCCTGAAAAATATCTAAAAAGAAGATTTTGGTTGTTCAGTACCACCCATTGATTTCGTCCAAATTTTCGATAAATCAATAAAATATGCTCATTTCGTATAACTTATATATGTGGCATATATACATATCAGATGTCTATCCTTTTTTCATCATAATATAAGAGGTTTGTATGTTTTAGTAGAAACGTATTCCTTTCCAAACATTTAGATTTAAGAATTTCTCCCATGATTGGTGATATTGTTCAAAATCAAAACTGTGTTTTTGTTTTTGCGATATATTGAACTGTTGAAGTAAGTGTGTAATAGTTTGTAGTAGAGCCAAGATTTGATCTGTATCATGTACGTACCCTGCATAAAAAATTCGTTTTAAGTGTGCCATAGATGTCAACCATTAACTATTGCAGAATCAAAAAAAGTTTTGTGAAAAATTAGGATAATGTTTCAAAAGTTATACACCGGACAATAAATAACTATACTCAATACAGACAGGGAGTTTTAATTGCCCAAAAACTGAGTATCAAAATGCATTTGTATCTCTTTAGTATCTTGCATGACTCGTTCATATGAATTCTTTATTTCTACCTCGTTCCTTATACATTCTGAGACAGTTCAACCTTTGCCCTACGTCCTGTTCGTCGTTAGTATGTTGTCACTCGATATAATCGTATAGTTTCCATATAGTTTTTGAAATCTCACTAAATCTCGTTTTTCGTGAGATTTTAAGAGACTTGCATATTAGACCTCTAATGACTTACATTACCTTCTTTTAAATGGCATATTTGAATTCAGTGAAATGTTTTCTCCTTCAATAGCTTTGATTTACACAGTTATGTAATTTGAATAATTTTCTATGACAATTTAAAAAAAACTTGGGCCAAATGTCCATAGATGCAATGCTAAAATTCTTTAAATCCGTGGATTATTTGTATGTCAATCAACATTTGCATGTTTAATCACATCATGTACATAAACAGGGTCATCATGTGGTATATCATTCAAGTTTTATACAGATTCAACAAACACACTTTGATAAATCATGAAATTAAGCCATTTTCCAAGATTTTAACATGTAAATGAATGGAGCTCTAGCCCAAGTTAAAAGCTGAATAAAAGATGGCAGCACGAGATTTCATTGATTTTTCTGCTATTTAGAAACTATCCTATTGCCACGCGGTCCTAACTTTGACCGTTAATTTGAATTTTTGACCTACCGGATATTTGAAAATCAATTACGAGTCTCATACTGCACCGTTTTTCTTCAAACTTGTTCCATTCAAAGCATGACAAAAATCTCTTTCTGATGGTACGTTATTATCTTAAACAGAGTTCCTACTTCCAGCGTAATTTTGGTCCCCAGCTGTAAGAAGGCCTTCTAACAGCTGGGGAGTGGGGACCAAAACGCTGCTAGAACGAGGGACTCTTTACAATAAAGTAATGCACTGACAGAAGTGCAATTTTGTTTTGCTTTTAATGTTATAATGGAAGAAAAACGGTGCAGTATGAGACTCGCAATCCTTGATTTTCAAGCATCTGGTAGGTCAAAAATTCCAATTAACGGTCGAAGACCGCGTGATTGCAGAAAGTCAGAGACAGCACTCCTTTTTTCTTTTTAAATCATGTATATATTTCTTATTTTATAACTTTGTATACATCAGGTCATTTTACAATATTGCAATATTTTTTTTAAATAGATACAATTGCAATTATTTAAAACATTATTACAATAGTTTACAAATATAATGTAACATAAGTTGTTTAACCATTCATCAAAATAAGTATACTTAGTGTCTTGTACCTTATAACCAAAGGCAAGAGTTTGATACTTTTTCAAGCTTAATTCAATTTTAAAATCATCTAAAATATAATTTTCAAGTGGGTCTATTACATTAGTAGGCCTACTCTATGATATTGAAAGAACAAATGTTTATAGTATTCTCAGGCCCGTAGCCAGGGGGGGGGGGGGGCAGGGTTCGGGCGAACCCCCCCCCCCCCTGGCCAAAAATTCTTTCAAAATCATGCAGTTTTTCACCATTTTTAGCACTTTTCAAGTGATTTTGACCATATTTGGGCCTAAATTGTCAAATGTGAACCCCCCCTGGAAATTTTTGAAAACTGAACCCCCCCCCTTGGCAAATCCTGGCTACGGGCCTGATTCTACTTGTCTGAAAATATCACACTTGTCATTAACAATTAGTTTCCATCATGATCTTAGGAGTCACTGGCGAACCCAGAAAAAAGCCTAAAAAGACCCTTTTGGTCAATACTGGGCCTTTTAAGGCCTTATTTTTCAATTTCAGGCCAAATTTTTAAGAAAACGGTCCTCAAAATTTCAAAATTTTGGCCAACTTTTGGGTTTTAGGGAAGTTTTTTCTCTGACCTGAATTTGCCCCCCTTGTTGGTTCCCAGATCCGCCCCTGGAAGTAATTGTTTGCATGGTAGAATGTAATGTAAAAGTTTGTATTTGAAATTGGCCACTTTTTATTTTTGGATTGCTTTAAAATGAATCCAAGTATGTTGAAACAGCATTTGACTATTTTGAATTTCACAAAGATTAATTCAAAATGATTCCAAATATGTTTAGTTGCTATAAGTTCCAGCAAGATTGAATATATGTCTCTAGGACTTGCATGTTTATCCAAAAATCTATACATACGACGTCAGATACTGTACATCACGGCGTAACATTGTAATTGTTCATTTTACCGACAAAATGCAAAGATCTACGCGATGCGCAATGCTCCTCCAAGTAATTGCAAAAGTTTTAATATTCGTGGAATCTTCTTAAAAACTTCAAGTTTTGTTCAGATTAATATGCGCTTCAATACAATTCTATATTCAAAAAGGTTGTGTCACGATATACAGAATTAGAATCACCAGAAAGTAGACATTTCAAACCCTACCCGTTTTCTTCTTTGTCGCGCTTTTCGGCCCTGCGCTCTTGTTGTCGTACCGTCTTTCTAGACTCTTTCACAGTGTCCCTTGTCATATTCATCTGATATACACAGACGGGAAGATATGAAGGATTGTTAAATGCATTATTTGTAATTTATTTTAACTCGAATATTTTCTTTTATTTATTTAAAGCAATGAATAATAAAGGAGAACATATAATACGCTAACGGCGTAACGTCTTATTTTGTAAAGGCTTCACTTGGGGTTGCGGTGATAAAATGATGTCTATCTCAATATATACTGGTTCAAATTAAATGAAATTAATTGTATGTAGTGAGGGGTATATTTAAAAGAACATGCTGAAACATAGGAAAGTTTTGAATGTTTATCCCTTATTTAGAAATATTTGAACTCAAAAAATGAAACGTAATTTTCTGAATTTTTCACATGGCTTCACTTCATATTTCTTTCAATTTATACTTCTTACAGACTGAATTTTAATCTAAATGATATAGTTTTTTGATAAAAATATAGAATATGATATGCCTTTCAGGAATCAAAAAAGAATAATTCACCTTTCAAACGATTTAATGTTAAATTGATCAAAATATATATCTTGTTGGTACGAAATTCTGCCTGTCCACACTTTTTTTGAATAAATATAAGCGTTAAGTTAGCATTGTTATATTATGACGCCATCACAAAGAATCTGTTTGTCTTTTCCAAAATGGTGAATTTAAATATTGTGAAAATTTGAGAAAGATCCGTTAAGAAATGAAATAGTTATCTTCATTTTTCGTTTAAAATTAAAATCATTTTTCTTCAAAATGTTACAGTCCACACCCGGTTTAGCATAGAAAGTCGAATAATACGGCTTGCGTGATTCTCATTTAAAAAGTCCCAGATCAGTAATTTAGAATTCTGATAGGCAAAATATTTCATGGACATACGTGTTCAACTGATGACGAAAAATTGTAGAAAAATATGATTTTGCTGTCGAGATATTGCGGTTTTAAAAGTAAGTACGCATGTAAAAATGCAGTAAAATGCCGCGATGTACGTCGTATCATAATGATTCAATTTACAGTCATAAAACCTTAAACTTACATTTGTATTAACATATACGTACATCTGCTTGCCTCACTAAATATTTTAACTATATATTGAAATGGCAAAGATTGCTTAACAGTTATATATTCTGTCATCCGTTTGACCCTAGATTTGAGCTTCAGACCCTATATTTAAGGGGTCAGCACCCGGTGTTTGTAACAAATGGCAGGCTGTAACAATGTAAATGTTAATGCCTTAATCGTTAATGGATGAAGTGGGATGGGAGGTATCCCACTTATAGAGGTCCATTTAACATTAATGAGTTGGTCTTGGCACTCTGAAATGTTCCACTTGACATATTTCACTCCAATCCATCTAGCTCTATGAACGAGCACTCTTTCATTGGTAAAGGGTGTATTTGAGAGTAAATATCAACTGAACGATTCCTCCATGGGCTAGTATTTAGCCTAATAAAAACTGTCGAAAGATGAAAATACAGGTGATACAGATCTTCAAATAAACAAAGTTAAATTATGCTATTCTCATTGCAAAGTGGCGTTTACATATTAACATACATAGGGGTCTACAATTTTTAAACCAATTTTCTTTATGCCCCATGGGGCTTTTTGAGAGGGAACAACATTTTTCAAATGTGTGATGGGCGTTCATAAAAGGGAAATAGTTTTCCCAAGCCAGTGGGCATTTATTTAGTAAAGTTGACGTCGTGTACATCTTTTGAAACCAAAAATTATTCTTCATTTAGGTACTCTGTTCGAGAAATAGAGATTAAATTCAAAAAGATGAAGTGAGTACATGGCGAAAATGAAACTTCTTGCGAATGGGCGAACATCCAATTTGATACGAGGACAGCCTGTCTTCGTTTCCAGTTAATCCCAAGTGATTACGTTTAGAATGTTTTGTTCTTTTACATTTTACGATTTGATAAGAGACAGAGACTAAGAAATTAAATGCGACGAAACATTTTGACAACGTAATATGTGTACTGTTTATTCTTAAAGTTTTATGCGTTAACTTATTTTATCGGTTTCAAAATGTTTCATTTTATTTTGCCTATATAAAATGTATTGAATAAGATAAGATCAACTGTTCCTTAATATGTATTGTGTTTTGATGACCTTTTTTAGAATCACAATGTAAAATAAACCCCCCGTTCCTGTCATTCTGGTAACGCCGTGTAATGGATGCAATTCAAAGTGAGAGAGAGATCTATACATCAGAATGCGTCCATGCCATTAATTTTGCCAAATACATGACATGAAACTGGCTTGAGGTGCGTCCCCCTTTATCTGGTAAATTATGACTAAATTTTTCGGACAACTGGGTTTCGGACAACTGGGTTTCGGACAACTGGGTTTCGGACAACTGGGTTTCGGACAACTGGGGTGCACCCATGGAAGTTCATAGTCAGTATTATTGCATAGCAGGTGATTACAAAAGAGGTGTATGATCTTCGATAAATTCTGAGCATTTTAATGAAATGATAAATTTGTCTGTAAAACAATAACTGAAGAAAAGTAAACCATTTTTTTCAACTGTAAAATTGAATGTTAAGAAAAATGACAGTTCAAAAACTTACTGTATCTTAGAGTGAATATCGTAAAACATGCCATTGAAGTTCATAGTCTGTATTATGGCATAGCAGGTGATTACAAAAGAGGTGTATGATCTTCGATAAATTCTGAGCATTTTAATGAAAGGATAAATCTGTGACATTTTACTCCCATTAGCACCTGGTATCTTTTCTGTCTTTCATTTTTTCCTCTTTTCTGCAATTTGGATCATGGCATTCTTCTGTTATATTTTAGGGAGTGATGCGTTCTGCTATACCATGGCAAGTGTTGGAAACACAATACCTCAATGACTCTGTCTTTAGGGATGAAATAAGTCAATTAACATTTTCCTGTTATATTTTAGGGAGTGATGCGTTCTGCTATACCATGGCAAGTGTTGGAATCACAATACCTCAATGACTCTGTCTATAGGGATGAAATAAGTCAATTAACATTTTCCTGTTATATTTTAGGGTGTGATGCGTTCTGCTATACCATGGCAAGTGTTGGAAACACAATACCTCAATGACTCTGTCTATAGGGATGAAATAAGTCAATTAACATTTTCCTGTTATATTTTAGGGTGTGATGCGTTCTGCTATACCATGGCAAGTGTTGGAATCACAATACCTCAATGACTCTGTCTTTAGGGATGAAATAAGTCAATTAACATTTTCCTGTTATATTTTAGGGTGTGATGCGTTCTGCTATACCATGGCAAGTGTTGGAATCACAATACCTCAATGACTCTGTCTATAGGGATGAAATAAGTCAATTAACATTTTCCTGTTATATTTTAGGGTGTGATGCGTTCTGCTATACCATGGCAAGTGTTGGAATCACAATACCTTAATGACTCTGTCTATAGGGATGAAATAAGTCAATTAACATTTTCCTGTTATATTTTAGGGAGTGATGCGTTCTGCTATACCATGGCAAGTGTTGGAATCACAATACCTCAATGACTCTGTCTATAGGGATGAAATAAGTCAATTAACATTTTCCTGTTATATTTTAGGGAGTGATGCGTTCTGCTATACCATGGCAAGTGTTGGAATCACAATACCTCAATGACTCTGTCTATAGGGATGAAATAAGTCAATTAACATTTTCCTGTTATATTTTAGGGAGTGATGCGTTCTGCTATACCATGGCAAGTGTTGGAAACACAATACCTCAATGACTCTGTCTTTAGGGATGAAATAAGTCAATTAACATTTTCCTGTTATATTTTAGGGAGTGATGCGTTCTGCTATACCATGGCAAGTGTTGGAATCACAATACCTTAATGACTCTGTCTATAGGGATGAAATAAGTCAATTAACATTTTCCTGTTATATTTTAGGGAGTGATGCGTTCTGCTATACCATGGCAAGTGTTGGAATCACAATACCTTAATGACTCTGTCTATAGGGATGAAATAAGTCAATTAACATTTTCCTGTTATATTTTAGGGTGTGATGCGTTCTGCTATACCATGGCAAGTGTTGGAATCACAATACCTTAATGACTCTGTCTTTAGGGATGAAATAAGTCAATTAACATTTTCCTGTTATATTTTAGGGAGTGATGCGTTCTGCTATACCATGGCAAGTGTTGGAATCACAATACCTTAATGACTCTGTCTTTAGGGATGAAATAAGTCAATTAACATTTTCCTGTTATATTTTAGGGAGTGATGCGTTCTGCTATACCATGGCAAGTGTTGGAATCACAATACCTCAATGACTCTGTCTTTAGGGATGAAATAAGTCAATTAACATTTTCCTGTTATATTTTAGGGTGTGATGCGTTCTGCTATACCATGGCAAGTGTTGGAAACACAATACCTCAATGACTTTGTCTTTAGGGATGAAATAAGTCAATTAACATTTTCCTGTTATATTTTAGGGAGTGATGCGTTCTGCTATACCATGGCAAGTGTTGGAATCACAATACCTCAATGACTCTGTCTTTAGGGATGAAATAAGTCAATTAACATTTTCCTGTTATATTTTAGGGTGTGATGCGTTCTGCTATACCATGGCAAGTGTTGGAAACACAATACCTCAATGACTTTGTCTTTAGGGATGAAATAAGTCAATTAACATTTTCCTGTTATATTTTAGGGTGTGATGCGTTCTGCTATACCATGGCAAGTGTTGGAAACACAATACCTCAATGACTTTGTCTTTAGGGATGAAATAAGTCAATTAACATTTTCCTGTTATATTTTAGGGTGTGATGCGTTCTGCTATACCATGGCAAGTGTTGGAAACACAATACCTCAATGACTTTGTCTTTAGGGATGAAATAAGTCAATTAACATTTTCCTGTTATATTTTAGGGTGTGATGCGTTCTGCTATACCATGGCAAGTGTTGGAAACACAATACCTCAATGACTTTGTCTTTAGGGATGAAATAAGTCAATTAACATTTTCCTGTTATATTTTAGGGAGTGATGCGTTCTGCTATACCATGGCAAGTGTTGGAAACACAATACCTCAATGACTTTGTCTTTAAGGATGAAATAAGTCAATTAACATTTTCCTGTTATATTTTAGGGAGTGATGCGTTCTGCTATACCATGGCAAGTGTTGGAATCACAATACCTCAATGACTCTGTCTATAGGGATGAAATAAGTCAATTAACATTCTCTCCTGAGAGGGTAAGTCTGGTCATTTTGATAACCCCTTGAAATCTTAACATTGCAAGATATAGGGTGTCCCAAAAATTGTACACTAATGAGATGAGAATAACTTTTTTCCTTTATCGAAAATTATTTTTTCAAATTACAAATCCATAGAAAGGACCATGTGAGGTATGGCAAGTGATTTTGGACGGTCATATCTTTCGCCACAAGTACTTTCTGGCCATACAGTGATCTTAATTAAAACAATATGTTTTTTAAGTGAAGTCCCAAAGATAGTAAAATATCAATCAAACTCTCTGAAAAATTATGGATTAGGACCCCGCCTTGGCACTTTTTAAAAAATCTCAGGCTTAATTTTGGTCATCAAAAATTGATATCTTCAAAACTAGACCTTCAAACGATTCTACTTTTAGAGACGTTTTAGACCCCTTGTTCAATAATATTTTCATGCAATAAAAAATCAGAAAAATATCCTCTTTAGAATAAATAGGCTCAACATTTTAGAAAAAAATGTTGACATGGGGTCCCTACTGTATTCATAATTTTTCAAATTGTTTGATTGATATTTTTATGAATTGTGAATTACTTCCTGAGAAAGGATTGGTATCGATATTGAACTGAATGCAACAATGTTTTTCTCTTAAACCCATTATTTCCACCCAAAATACATTTAGGTGTTCCTTTTTCTGATAATTTCCCATTTTACTGAATTTAAAATCTTGCAAAAGTTCGATATATGTCCATATATATTTCAGGCTCAAGTTTCGAAGGAAAAGTACCAACATCAACAACAATATACGGACCATAAAACGGGAGACTTCCAATTGAACATTACTGGTTCTAGTCCTGCCAAAGACCAGTATGCAAAGTACCACACGTCATTACAGAATGCAAATCAGCCACAAGAGGGCGGTAGTAGTTTTCGAGGGTGGAATGCATTTAAGAAACGTCAAAGTAGTCAAAATGAACAGTCAGAACAATCTAAAAGAAAAAAAATTAATGTGAAGTTAAAAGATTTAAAAGTGCCCTTCTCACGTCATAAGTATAAACCAAGTAATGAGATCCTACATCAAGATGTTCTCAATCTTTTCATGGACTTAATGGATGATTGCACTCATATGGGAAATTACCCGAAACCTGTAGATCCTGAACTCATTATATTATTGGCTGCTAAATATGATGAGTATGTTCCTCGGAATAGCACAATTCGATTGGATGAACTATGGAATGGTTGCGAAGTACGGGAAATGGAAACTGGTCATGTGATTGGGTTTTTACGACACCAAGAGGAGTATAGGTAGGAACTTCTTCTAATGGAACTATTTTTTGTTTCTTCTTTATGTAAAGTTCCATAATCTATGAGGTGTGTCCCATTTTTGATTCTCAATAACTTTGTATATCAATATTTGTTTGCTTTTAAATTGAGTTATTTGAGAGTTGGTTGTAATACTATATTTATTAGATAACATATTTTAGAGGTTGGTTCACTTTTTAATGTTGATGTAAAACTTTTGATTTCTTTTTTCCAGGAGAGCCATATTAGATGCTTTCAACATTCAACTGAAGAAGTATTACAATGGGGAGGTTCTATAACTCCTATGTTATGATTTCATCATTAAACGTATAATGATGTCATTATTAATTTTTAGTGATGTCATGGACTGATGTCAGCATGAACTGATGTTGCCAAACATTGTTATTTATTGAATTTCATTTACAAAATAGTGCAGTTGTACTTTGATTATTTCATGACCATATATTGACAATTGTATATCATGTGACCTGAAAGGAAAATGTACTAATATATCAACGGATATATCTTTTGAAGATGTATCTCCGTTGAGAGACAGTAAAACAGTACAGTGGAGTCAGTCATCTATACAGTACATGGGTTGATCAAAAAGTTTGTGATATTAGAGCAAATGCTGAAGAACTATTGGGTCAACCCTTGTCTGTTGATGCATCATAGCATGGCCTCACAAAATTTTTATAGACACACATTTTGGACGTTTTTTGTGTCGCAACAAAGAAGTTACTAAGTATTCAAGCTTAAGATTTTTCTCTAATGATATATATTTGTAATTTCTGTGAATAAATTCTTTCTGTGAAAGACTTGCAGCATTTTGATAAATAAGTTGTTCAGTTGTCAGTTATTATTCCATAGTCCATGTATTAATATTAGAAGTGATGGCAAACAGGTCATACGTCATTGAGACTATTTTCTTTAGGTGCAAAATGATTACCAACTTGTACTTAGAATTTTCTTTACCTATAAAAATGATGTTACAGAGGAGATTATTTTGGAATGGTATTTACTACTATTTAGAGAAAGAAATTGAGGTGCAATAAGTTCTGAAATAATTTTGATTAAAACAGATATGCAACTTATATTCTACATTGTAAGAATAGCAGAATATTAGGCAGTTCATTCAAATTTTAGAGAGATTTTGTGTGAAATATCTAAATTATTGGAAGGCCATTATCTTAAGATATGTCGTTTTTATTGTTATCATTTCAGAACATTAATATTAGATGAACAAGTTTACACCAGTTTACACCAGATTGCACCAGTTTTGTTTTACAGTGCTTGACACTTAAAATAACTTTCAATGAAACATCGTGAAAGTATAGTCTTAACACGTCATATTCTTTTCCAAATATCTATCTCTTGATAATACAATGATTTTATAGTGTTATTTAAAATTGTTCTTGTGTACAATGAAACTGAATGTCATTTTCAATAATCTTCATGTTTTACACAGAATATAATAACAATAATTTTTATGTTAAGACTTGTAATCTCACAAGGACATACTTTACAAGGATGTTATTTTTAATGTCAAATCAAAGACAGAGATCTAAGTTTTGTCTGTTCAATGTCAAGACATACATACATGTACTGCAAAATCTCATGTCAGTACTGGGTAGATCAAGAATCTTGCTAGATAAGATAGAATGGACTGCTTATTCATCAATTTATCAGGCCATTGTGACATACAAATATTTCACTTTATAGAGGGGAATAGCTATGCATCTCCAAAATACATAATACATGGTGTCTCAAAAAAGGAAACCGGGAATGAATGAGTAATATCCAGATGTTTGTTGTTACTTATCACTATGTTATGATGGTGAAATTGACTTGGCTGAAAGTGGGACAAACCCATTTCTGACATGGTCACTTAAATCCCCCATTGCTCAGTCATCTGTGGAGGAAAATAGAACATCTTGGTATCATATGAAAGAGGACATAATGATGCAAATGATGGTACCTGCAAATTTTCCCTAACATTATTCATCTTTGAGAAATTAGCAATTTAATCTCGGTTTCCTTTTTTGAGACACACTGTATACTTCTGTAGAGGGCTCACATGGGAGAGGGCTCACACTGGATGAGAGATATTTATTATTATGATATTTTTATGATGGTATTCTCTTTTCAATATGAGCTTTTAGTATATAGAAAGCATCACAAGTAAATGTCCCAGTTTTTTGCCATGTGACCTGTATTATCCAATCACAGAGTAAGAATCATGAAGTTAGATAATAATTGTGGTTAATTGTGGTCCATATCTGTACTTTTATATTCTTACCTTATTTCTTATCAGAGTTGCATGAGTTTCATTTTTCTTTATATTGGATAAAGAATTTTTTCCATTCCATTATAATTATTTCGATTTCTCATGAAATCACGATTTGTAAAACTCAACATGTATATTATAGATCTGTTAAATGGCAAAGAATGACATGTTAAATGATTTCTAAAGTGAGAATACATGTACTTACATATAATGCTTGTTGAGTCTGGTTGAGTGACATAAGCAAATAATAACTGGGGATACTGTCCATATGCAAACAATTGAAGATGGATAAATTATGATTTTGTTAGTGTGAAATACTGATTTTCGGCTCTGAGAAATGAACAGCAACTCAAATTTCACAAACCATTATGGGGGAGTGGGTTAAACCATGATGAGATTGGCCAGCTTTAAAACACAACTGTCTGGATGTGAACACACCCCCAAATCCTTCAATATTTGCAATGTACATGTTATATGAAGCATTTGAGAAAAACTAGTTCTATCCTGAATTAAACTCAAGAATCTGCTCTGATTTGACAAGTTGAACATTGTAGCTAAATTTCTAGATAAATGAAAGAGTTCTTTGTTGGAGTCAATATAATAGAACAAGATATCTGCATGGTAAGTAATATAATTTTTATTGTTATGTGAAAACTAGAATCAAAGATAGAGTGGGGAAACAAATAAGTAACATTGACAATTACCCAAGCAATATTAATATTATATTTGCCATCAGAATTATTATATCACAAAAGACAAACAAACAAATAGAAAAATGAACATATACATGCCAATTTCTAATGTACTGTGGTACGTGCAATACTTTTTTAGTAAGAATTTTGGATTTCAAGAAAACTGGCATAATAGCAATGAATGGTAAGTGTGATATTTATATGTAATATTTAAACATCATGATTGTTATTTGAAAAGCTCTCTACATCTGATTTTAATTTTAAATATAAATTGATATAATATATTTCATTGCCTTAAAGGTTATTAGCAGTTTTAATATTTAGATATTAGGTAGAAAATATAACTACTGTATAACATCGGATTACAAAATATTACTCAGAAGTGAATATTTCTTGGATGATTATCCCATCGAACGAAGTTCGGATGGATATAGGGAACGCCTCCGTCCGTCCGTCCGTCCGTCCGTCCGTCCGTCCGTCCGTCCGTCCGTCCGTCCGTCCGTCCGTCCGTACGTACGTCCGTCCGTCCGGGCAATAACTCAAATACCGTTGGTCCGATTTTGTTCATATTTTGTACACATATCCCCTATGGGGGAAGAAGTTCTGCTTGAAAGCCGATTTCCAAAATGGCCGCTCATTTCAAAATGGCGGCCATTTTAGTGCCGAATTTACAGTAATTTAGGTGCAATATGTAAAACTGTAATAGCAATATGTTTTAGATGTAAAAAAATTATATAGGACATTAATAAAGCTAGAAATGTAGATATTAAAGAAGCACATGGCAGCCATCTTGAGAAATGGCGGCCTTTACTCGCTATTTTTAACATATTTCACTATAACTCGAAAAGTAGTGGAGCGATTTTGTTCATATTTGGTATGTGAATACTATAAGCATGACACACTGTCCTATGACACTTTTGGTAGAAGGCGACCATTTTGAAATTTTTTTTGAAAAATGGCCGCCATTTTAACGTATTTTACTATAAATCGAAAAGCAGTGAAGCGATTTTGTTCATATTTGGTATGTGAATACTATAAACATTGCACACTGTCTAAAGACACTTTTGGTAGAAGGCGGCCATTTTGAAAAATGGTCGCCATTTTGAAAAATGGCCTCCATTTTAATGTATTTTACTATAACTCGAAAAGTCGTGGAGCGATTTTGTTCATTTTTGGTATGTGAATATTATAAGCATGACACACTGTCCTATGACACTTTTGGTAGAAGGCGGCCATTTTGAAAAAATTTTTGAAAAATGGCCGCCATTTTAATGTATTTTACTATAACTCGAAAAGTAGTGAAGCGATTTTGTTCATATTTGGTATGTGAATACTGTAAGCATGGCACACTGTCCTATGACACTTTTGGTAGAAGGTGGCCATTTTGAAAAATGGCCGCCATTTTAACGTATTTCACTATAACTTGAAAAGTAGTGGAGCAATTTCGTTCATATTTGGTATGTGAATACTATAAGCATGGCACATGATCTAATGACACTTTTGGTAGAAGGCGGCCATTTTGAAAAACGGCTGCTATTTTTGCTATATACTTTGTTTGTAAAAACGCCATCCATGGCTGTTCGATGGGATTCGCTACGCTTTGGCGTTGCCGTTGTTCTGGTTGTTTTTCTAATAGGAAACCTGAACTTAAAATTTATTTTGAACATTTTTGGAATAAGTCATCATGGAAGAAATCTTGGTGTTCTGATTTCAAAATGTTCTTGATTGCGAGAATAAAGAAGTCATAAAATTCAAAACCTAAGAACATTTATTACATTTTATTGCCTTAAAATTGCTTAAAGGAAAGCATGCCCAAATTCTGTGGCTCACTCTTTGAGAGTAGTCTTTCAGTACAAATGATTTGATTAAAGGTTTTATCAAGAACATGTATTTCTTTGTATGTATAAATGTACAAACAACTTTGAAAGATGTCAAGTTGAATCATATCAGTTAACCTTATCAGGCTAAATATTGTCCTCATTAAATAATATCTCCTGTATTATCTCTAAAATATGAATTGAGTACTCAATTCTCTTAAATATTTAATTTTGAATATTTGTTTCAAAGATATTTCATATTGTCATTTTGTAATTCTCCTTCTTTTGATGACTTACTTGTATTTTTAGTTAATTAATTAAGTTAATTATTTTTATGATAATATCTTAGGTAGGGATAGCTTGTTTTTACTTAATTTCATTTATTTTATCATTCTAATAAATAGACCTGAGATGTATTCAGATGAGCGACAAGTACTATATTGCTTTGTCCTTATCAATCACTATTAATTTATAGGCTGCTGTTCCACCTATTAATACCAGATATATTTGTTTAAGATCTCAGATTCTGAGGACACTTAGTTGGAAGTCAATATTAGATTAGGTGCCACTGTTTTTATTAGTTGTCTCATTTATTACAAGACCACTTCACCTTATTCATGTGGCATTGAACATGTGTACAAACTGTTTTCATTTCCTTTCTTTTTTTAGATATCTTATCCTTATACAAAGGTCCCTAAAACAAAAATTCATTATCATTAATGACAAATCACGATGGGTGCCTATTTTGCCTGCCCTGATAGAGACATATACAAGGATGAAGCAAAAGCGATACTGAAGATGGGGTTACCTATGGTGGGTGTAAAACTTTGTAAATGTTCACTGTTATTGCTTGCTAAGGATGAGAAATCATAAACAGGAGATTCTAGTCATAAGGCTGAGGGTGAAAGTAGAGCATTGAAATATCTGCACATTCATCCTTCCTTATAATTAGTGCCCATAGGTGATAAACTCATGTTTCAAGGCTTTGTATAAAAAACCTCCTACCTCATACCCACCTACCCACCTATGTGGAACATGATACAGTCATTGAAGGGTTCAATTTTAAAGATGATTAAATCTCAAAATAGCTCAAATTATTAATATTTCTACAATTCCGGCTTTATTTTATGACTAGACAGAAGGCATATGGATGCATTTTAATGTTTTAATGTGTAATGACCCGAGGGCGCCCCAGGGATATAAATAGCTAATGACCGCAAGCATAGGTCCAACAGGCCAGATAAAGAAACTGAAAGAAAGTGTGCTAAATTTGAAGCCCCGAGTGGGAATCGAACCAAGCTGGGATGTAGTAGCAACTTGCTATCAAGGGTTGTTACAAATGCATCTATAATTCATCATAAACTAAGATTCAATAAACTAAGATCTTTAAAATTGAACCCTTCAAAGACTGTATCATGTCCCACGTACGTGGGTAGGTGGGTATGAGGTAGGAGGTTTTTTATACAAAGCCTTTCTGTGTTCCCCTATTGGGTGATAAATTCAAGAGACAATGAAATACCAGGGAATAGTCTAATGATTGGATATTACTGTAGCAAGAGGAAGATTACACTGAAATGTAAAGAAAAATATTCCAACAACAAAGATCTTGAAGGATATCATGGTATCCAAAAATATTCTCAAATAAATGATTTTGATGTATGATATGAGATACTCATAGGTGTTTAACAAAAAGATCTTTCAGTTTAATGCTCATTGGCAATAAAGTGAGTAGGTTTCATTTCTCAAATTTGCAATAAGATCCTTTTCACATCCTGTAAAATGTGGCTCTTATACAAATCAAATATCATGACTACATCACATTCGCAATGTTTCTCTTCAGAAATTTTGATATTGAATGGTAAACTCCTTCCAAGAGTCTTCTATGAAATCTAAAGTAGTCCAGTCAGTCTTCATTCTCTGTCCAGTTAAGTTTTATCTCTAAAATGCGATTATAGTAGCATGACTCCTTTCACCATCAGAAACCAAAATAAATATCATTTGAAAACAACGAAATGTGAAATTAGGATATAAGGGCCTTAGATAATGCATCAAGTGACACATGTTATTTCAAGAAACATTTTTGTGAGATCGTATGATGAATTCTATTTTTCAGTGTCTAGCCTCACTGTTCCAATATGCTCTTCAACCAATGAGTATTGCGTTCTGTGGCCACTTGGGAAAACTTGAACTTGCAGCTGTGGCTTTATCTATATCGGTAAGTTCATATTCCATTCGGAAGGCAGATTAATGTTACCTACAATAACATGTAATCCATTTGTGGGAGGTCAACTGAGCCATCCTTCAACTAATTTATGAGTGCCATAGTCTTGTCTAAGTTGAGCTTGAATTTGACAATTTAATTACTTTATGGGAGCACTCTGCAATAATGTAGGTCCCACGTCCCATCTTTAATCTGAGGGAAATAAAGCAATACAATACAATACAATACAATACAATATAATACAATACAATACAATACAATACAATAAGAAGCTACCCGTTTGCTCTGTTGAAGACACTATTCATATAAAAATCAAAATCAAGGGGCTAAGTTCCCAGCCTATCGTCAGGCGCAATATTGGTCAATATTTGAGGTCTACTTTTGGTCTACTCATGAGGCGTACTTCTGGTCTACTTTTGGTTTTTTTCTGTGTTAAATCCCCATAGTCAGGCGCGTTTCAAATATTTAAATTAAGCCAAAAGTAGACCAGAAGTAGACCTCATTTAATGACCTCATCAGGTTTATCAGGTCTATATTTGAGGTCTAGACCTCATTTAAGCCTCAACTATCTGTAAATCAGGTCTATATTTGAGGTATACTTTTGGTCTACGCCTTATTTGAGGTTCACTATTGGTTTTCAGGTCTACTTCTCTTCTGCTTTTGGTGTACACCTTACGTTAAGACACATTTCAATTATGGAAATTAAGCCTTAAGGTCTACTTTTGGTCTAGACCTCATTTCAGGTACAAGCCTCATATACCTGTAAGTAAGGTCAGGTCATGTTTTGTTGTTTCAAAGTAGAAATGTACTTAGTACATATCAGTACCCTCCATAGTTGTTAAATAAATTGCATTTATTTTGAATTGCTGTGTTGTTTTCTAGGATTAACTTGTCTCATGGATAAGATACAGATCTATGAACACATTAGAAAGATGAAGCAAAAATTACACAGTATTCTTATATAAATTATATGTAGGCTTCTAATATGATGTATTTTTGTTTCATCATTTAAATTTAACAATATTTCAATATTTTATTACTTTCAGACATCCTTCTTTAGGTTTCCCAGATTTTGATTATTTTTTTAAGTTCTGATAAAAACCATTAATAGGGAGTTGAAAATACAGTTTACTGGTCTGTTAACCTAATATATTATAATCTGTCTCCTTCGTGATTCTGACAAAATACTACAGTAAGTGTGGCTTTTTCAGATTTATGTTTTCTAAGTTTTTAAAAAAATTCTATGTTTATCAGGTCTAGATTTGGTCATTTTATAAATGTTTAAGTTTTTAAGGCGCAGTTTTGGTCTGCCTGTCAGTGAGGTCTCTTCTAAAATGTTCTTAGTTTATCAGGTCTAGATTTGGTCATTTTGAAAATTGTTCAAGTTTTTCAGGCGCACTTTTGGTCTATACGCCTTACAGTGAGGTCTATTCTAAAATCTTCTAAGTAAATGTGGTTTAGATTTGGTTTTTAAGGTGCAGTTTTGGTCTATACGCCTGAAAATAAGGTCTATAACTGGAATTATTGTGAGTAAATGAGGCTAGGTTTTGGTCTAAGCCTTAAAAATACCTGTAAAAGAGGCATACTTTTAGTCTAGACCTGAAAGTAAGGCGCATTTAAGGTTAACTTTTGGTCTACGCCTCAAAAACCTGATGATAGGCTGGGTTATTCCAAAAAATGAATGGTTGCATTTTTTTGGGTCACCCCATATATTTCTTTCAGTATTTTTGAAGGTTTGTCTGCTTGACCTCTTGTTGCATTGTGTTTTAGTTGATCTACATATTTGGATTTGCAATAGGAGGTGGAATATCTCAAGCAGGAGATACATTCTTCTCACAAGCCTTTGGGAGTGAAAACAAAAAACAAGTTGGCATCTACCTGCAGAGAAGTATGCTGACTTTCAGTGTAGGCCCTAAGGGCCGGTCTGCTGGACATTATCAGGTTACTTTAGTTTTGATATGGACCAGTTGATTTTTCACTAGATACTATAGGAAAATAATATTGCAACTGATCCATAATTCCATTTTGACCAGCAGGTTTCAGATTCTTAGGGCCTACACTGCTTACTTACAAAGGTTTACAATATCTGTGTGCTCATACCATAACCTCTCCAAATCACATTGAGTGATAAGAAAAGAAATTTAGTAAAATTGTGACAATTTGTTAAAACTTACTCCCAACCTGTACTTATCCCCTCCTATCCCTTTAATATGGTATGTTATGTGTCCCTTTAAAATAGATTTCTTATGTTAACATTGTATGTAATGTGTCCCTTTAATGTGAATTTCCTATGTTAACATTGTATGTAATGTGTCCCATTAATATGCATTTCTTATGTTAACATTGTATGCCATGTGTCCCTTTAACATTTTCTGAAGTTAACATTGTATGTAATGTGTCCCTTTAACATAATTTTCTTAAGTTAACATAATATGTAGTGTTCCTTCAATATGCATTTCTTATGTTAACATTGTATGCAATGTGTCCCTTTAATATGAATTTCTTATGTTAACATTGTATGTCATATGTCCCTTTAATATGCATTTCTTATGTTAACATTGTATGTAATGTGTCCCTTTTACATAAATATCTTAAGTTCACATAGTATGAAGTGTTCCTTTAATATGCATTACTTATGTTAACATTGTATGTAATGTGTGGATTGTTTTTCAGATTTGCTGATCACCGGACTGACATGTTTACCATGCTGGGCATTGTTCCTTAATGCAGAGACAGTCCTGGTAGCAATTGGCCAAGACCCTGCGGTAGCAAGGTAATTACAGTGAAACTGGCTAATCTGAATGCCACAGGGAGCCATAAGATGTGTTTAGATTGGTAGGTGCTCACATTTCTAGATTTTTATGTCACCATCAGTAGTGGTGACATATTTATAGCCTCCTACTTTTTCCTCAGAAGATAATTAACAGAAACTTTCGTAAAGGAAAGGTAAGAATTCCGTTAGTCCATTTTTATTATTATCATATGGCATCATTGATTTGAGAATTATTAACTTTGTTAAAGGATTTAATACCAAGACTCATTGTTGCATTGTTTGCTGAATCATTACCATGAAGGTGTTGTTTCCAAACCTTTGCATGACCGTGCAGTGGGAATGCAAAGTTTAGGAAACAACGCCCGAGTGGAATGAAGCAGCTACAATGCATTGAGTCTTCGGCTTTTCACATATTGCAATTTTTCTTCTATAAAATCATCTAAAAGAGACAAAATCACAAAAAGAACACATTTTCAACGAAATTTTTTGCAACGTTGTCAAGTCAAGTTGTCATTAAGTCATCAAATCCAATGTGATGAAAAATCCATTCATCACCACCACAACTGTTTAACTAGTGACCTTGCATGTGTTATTGATATTTCAAACACTGTTCATTATGTGAATACTCTGTTCTGATGGCTGGAATCGGACACACCTTGCATAGCTGTATGTGAATAGAATTTTGTTAATGATCCCCTGATTAATTAAACGAATCAAAGATATGATAATTTTCAAGATATATTAAAAACTTGGTAGCTAAAAGGCATTTCTTAAGATATAAATTCAAATTAATATTATGAATTTGTATTATGTTTAGGATAAGTGGCAGGTACATGCTGATCTATATACCAGGTCTTTTGGTAAGTAACTGCCCTGATGAGAAAACATGGAAGATATTAATTAGCATTGATAAATCTAAGCCAGTGAAATTTACTTTTGCCTGTAAATAATATTTTTGATTTTCATACATATCACATGTTTGAGTTTAAAAGACGTCTGAAGTTTACAGTGATGTTAAACAAATTGAATAGTTAAGGACCAATTTCTTTCCAAATCCTTGTACTGTACTGTAAAAAGTTTTAATTTGGTGTCATTTGATTCACAATTGATTTCATCATTGTAAGAACATCTTGTACTGTTAAATTTGGCATTTCCTGTTTATCGAAAAGATTTTAAATTGGTCATTGTACATAATTATTTAATCATCAAATTAAATGGTGCTAAATTAAAGCAATTAATTACAGTACTGTATATATATATATCAATTGGTGATATAACCCTTTTTAAATTGTTTTATTTCAGGGCAACTATATTTTCTTTGTGGTACATGGCTATGTGATAATGTTATTTCAGGGCAACTATATTTTCTTTGTGATACGTGGCTATTGTGATAATGTTATTTCAGGGCAACTATATTTTCTTTGTGGTACATGGCTATGTGATAATGTTATTTCAGGGCAACTATATTTTCTTTGTGGTACATGGCTATGTGATAATGTTATTTCAGGGCAACTATATTTTCTTTGTGGTACATGACTATGTCATAATGTTATTTCAGGGCAACTATATTTTCTTTGTGATACGTGGCTATGTGATAATGCAGAGAGTTGTATATCCAGTAGTATTCATGAATTTTTTGTGCTGTGCTGTTCTTGCTTTACTAAGCTACATCTTCATCTTTGTGTGTGAATGGGGTATAGAGTGAGTATATGGGGCTTTTGAACTTTTGTGGCTTACAATCTATGCAAAACTGATAATAGGAATGTATATATTAACATAGGGTGTCTCAAAAAATGTAGCCAAAAATATATCAACAGCATAGACAAACCAATCAATATTTTCAGACATTTTTTGCATGGTCTTGAAGTCAAAACATATAAGTTTTGTCCCCTATACACAGTTTTTAATTCAGTTTTGCCTTTTGATTCTTTAACCCTTTATCTTTTATACCACATAATTAATGTAACCTCATATTTCGAGGACAGTCTGCATCGTTACTTCTACATTTTTCATCACATTTGACATTTCTGGTGTTTATAATGAAAATGGTCCTTCAAATAGCCCCAGAGAAAAAAGTATCGGCCGTTAAATCTGGTCTTATAGCCCCCTTATACAGAGAGGTCAGACATTCAAGAAACTGAATTGCTAGCATGCGTTAGTCTGGAAGGTAACTCCTGAATCATATTTTAGATATTTTAAGGAGTATTTAATGCTCATTCCAAACAAAAAGACCTAGAACAACTTAAGGGCAACATCCAAAGAGAAAACCCAAACATTCAACCGGAATTATTATCAAATGTGATTAACCATGTAACAGTAAGGACTAAGGATACAGGCTGTCATCGAAATATGAGGTTACATTGATTATGTGGTGTAAAAGGTAAAGTGTTAAAGCATCAAAAAGGCAAGAATGAAATAAAAATGGTGTATTGGGATAAAATGTCCAAGTTTTGGTTACATGACCATGCATAAAATGTCTGAAAAAATTGGTTGGTTTATCTGTGCTGTTGATATACTTTTGGGTACATTTTTTGAGATGTGTATGTTCATTTGACTTAACCATGTCTTTACAATATCTGTATATTAATTTGATATTGTCTGATTGAAAGTTAAATGAGACACAAAGAAAAGAACATGGAATACTGTTTAAAAATTATACAGAATAAACAAAAATTAATTGTGGAATGTTTCACATATTCCTCTTCTGCCTCTTAGCAATCAAATATCACATTTTAACAAAAGTAAGAAATCATCTATACTAAAGTACATGTACTATGCAGATCAAGACAAATAACCCGATATTTACTATTTATTTATATGTTTATAGAGGTTCATCTCTGGCACTGATGTTGACAATGATATTCCGTCCATTGCTATATCTCCTCTATATCAAGATCTCTGGTCTCCATGAGGTCACATGGGGTGGTAAGTGTTGATGTTGACAATGATATTCCGTCCATTGCTATATCTCCTCTATATCAAGATCTCTGGTCTCCACGAGCTCACATGGGGTGGTAAGTGTTGATGTTGACAATGATATTCCGTCCATTGCTATATCTCCTCTATATCAAGATCTCTGGTCTCCATGAGCTCACATGGGGTGGTAAGTGTTGATGTTGACAATGATATTCCGTCCATTGCTATATCTCCTCTATATCAAGATCTCTGGTCTCCATGAGGTCACATGGGGTGGTAAGTGTTGATGTTGACAATGATATTCCGTCCATTGCTATATCTCCTCTATATCAAGATCTCTGGTCTCCATGAGCTCACATGGGGTGGTAAGTGTTGATGTTGACAATGATATTCCGTCCATTGCTATATCTCCTCTATATCAAGATCTCTGGTCTCCATGAGCTCACATGGGGTGGTAAGTGTTGATGTTGACAATGATATTCCGTCCATTGCTATATCTCCTCTATATCAAGATCTCTGGTCTCCATGAGCTCACATGGGGTGGTAAGTGTTGATGTTGACAATGATATTCCATCCATTGCTATATCTCCTCTATATCAAGATCTCTGGTCTCCATGAGCTCAAATGGGGTGGTAAGTGTTGATATTGCATAACTGCTTTAAGCAACAGCATTTTCTTAGAGATAATAGTACTTCGAGCAAAAGTGCTGTCTTAATGCTAAACTACTGTTAATTCCTGAATTGAGAATTAAGGACAAATTTAATACCAGGAATGTGCAAATACTGAAAAAGTGTTCATACATTTATCCCATGGTTGCAAGGATATAGATCGAATATCACACAAAGATATATTTGATATGTGGATCAAGATATCATATTTTAGCAAAACATTCACAAACCATCGAATATCACGTCTTAAAAAGTGATATTCGATGGTTTGAAAAGTGATATTCGATGGTTTGAAAAGTGATATTCGATGGTTTCATTTTTTTTACATTTTTTAATTATTTTCAAAAATATTTAAAAAGAATTTCAAATTTTCCAAAATATCAATTATATCCACTCATGGATAAAATATATTCACTCATTCGCTGCGCTCACTTATGAAGATATCAATATCCACTCATGGATATACTGTATAAGTGGTAATTTTGCCTAATCATTTAATTTTCCTATTTCCTAATTTTTGCCAGGTTCGGAAAATTAAATGTCGGAAATATTGTCTTTATAATGTTATCCAATGGGAGGTTTCTTGTCATTAGGAAAATTAAAATTAGGAAAATGATGAAATTTGACCATTCGGAAAATTAACCACTTGGATTAGATACCACTTATACAGTAAATGATATTTTTTCAAAACCATAGGATATTCCTATAGTATATTGTTTATTCTTAAAATAAGAGATTATAAGTACACCCTTCCTTCGCACATACTAGTACTCTATTGACTATTGTATCAACTACCCTCTCTGTTGTTAACTCCTGAAAGAAATAGATACGATTTCATCAAAAACTTCAGAAGTGTTTCATTTCTGTGTAAACCTGAATTATCTTATTACATTAAAGTTACAGTGATTTCTTTCTGTCAATTACAGGTTGGTCCCTTGAGGCTCTGCAGCAATGGGGAGCTTTTATGAAAGTTGCCTTGCCAACCATGTTGCTTGTCCTATTATGGTGGGCTAGCTCAGAAATAGGCACCATATTGGCAGGTTTGTGAATTTTTGTATCTGTCTAATATCAGAAACATTTCCTTTGAAATTAAATAGTATTTTGAAGCTACATGTTGAACTGAAGTTTTGTTAATGCCTTTTAGCATCCTTGATATGTTTGAATACAGTGTAGCTAGGCCATGCCAAAACTCGAACTACATACATCCCCCTTTAAATGCCCCTCTTAACATATGTTTTATGGTATTTCCCTCAGCCCCTTATATCTGGACAGTTGGTCTGTATGTTTTCAAATTGAGAGATTTGCATTCACATATTCATATTCATTCCATGTTTCAGAACTGGAACTGCATACATTGCCCTTTAAATGCCCCTTTAACGAATGTTTTATTGTATTATAGGTACCCTCAGCCCCTTATATCTGGACAGTTGGTCCATATGTTTTCAAATTGAGGGTTTTGCATTCATGGTTAGTAATTTTAGTACATGGTTACTTTAAATACATATTTGAATTGCATACACTTCCAATTCACATAGAAGAGCTCTAATGAGATTAAGTTAAAGGGCCAACGAAACATAGGAAATGAAAAAAAACACCAATTCAGATAATTTTTCCCTGAGCAACTCAGACAAGTTTGTTTTAATAGATGTCTGTGACAACGAAAAAGATATTTGAAATAAGTTCACAATTTTTCAAATGATTAGTCCTTCAAAAACAACTTTTTGAAATTAGAAAATATGTATGCATAAAAATAAAATTGCATTTTTTATAACATCACTACTTGATTTAATCAATGAAATCTGGAAAATAATGCATTTTTTTAGTGTTGTTGTGTTGCAAAGAGTTTTGCTGCAAAAGTGGTGGGGTTACAAATATTAGAGATTTAAAGGACCAATGTTCTTTTTCAAAAGTCAACTGTTTAAAAAACCTCAAACAACTATTTTGAATAATAACAAATTATATTAAGATTGATAAACAATATTTTCAAACTTTGCTTAGGGCCATTAAAGGGAGTAGAAGGGATAGAGAATACTTGAAAATTGAGTTTTGAAATCATTGTCTCAATTTTGCAATATCTTTGCTCTCATTTTAACATGTCATTCCTGTTTTCAAAAAGACCAATTGTCCTTATACTTTATTATGAGAATGATCTTTTGATTTTTAAAATTATCTGCCAAAGAATTCAATATTTGGACATTTTTGCATCTTAAATTTCATCAGATATTTCATTTTTTTCATAAATATTTGAGATTGTAAAAGTAGAATTAACATGCATATAATGATATTGCTTTCAACCTTTAACGCTCTCTGTAATTGTTATTTTCATTTAGGGCTTCATGGGTTACCAAATAACTGCTTCAGCCAGATGTGGTGCATTTTTGGGTGCAAATGACCCTTTGAGGGCGAGGATTACATGCATCACTTGTTCACTGATTAGTGGTAATTCATTTTTCCTCAAATCCCTTTTCATCATTTGCCATGCATGGCAATGTCGCCACAAACAGGGGGAGCATATATCACACTTACTTGTTTAAAATTCTATAGCCAAAGGAAAAATTCATCAAAGAAACAAAAATTCATGAGTCCAAAAATGTTCAGAATAACATCTATCTTGTTGATCATTATAATATTGTACATTTGTAGGAATATCTGGAATTGTATTGGCTGCACTGATCCTAGGACTGAGGGGACAGCTACCATACATCTTTACAAATGACAGGTATTTCACCCCATTTCACCATCATGTATAACATGCTTGCTTCATCTTCACAAATATTTTTAAACTTATTACCAGAAAGATAAATATATATGCACTAGTGCTTTAGGGAAAGGACCAAAAATTGTTAGAGAACACAGAACATCTAAGATTACACCAGTCATAACATGAAAAGAAATGATGTCTAATAGCCCTATACCCCACCATGCAAGTACCATTATCACAATCCAGGACCATCACACAAAGGACTTTTCATTTAAACTAAATCATCACAATATATGTGAAAAATAAATTAAATTGATAACCAATATTCATAACATCAAAAATAGTTGTAGATACTAGGTAAAGAACAAGATAGAGCATTCAATCCAGTCTCATAGAGTGGTATTGAAGTTTAGTATTGGACTGTGTGTCCAACTCAAATGAACTCTATTTCCAGTGATGTATTGGAGTTAGCAAAATCCCAGCTTCCAATCCTTTCATTGTTTGTACTTTTGGAGAGCATCACAGTAAGCAAACCATCTGATTGATCTTTTTGTGAAATTATCGGGAAAACATGTAAACTGCATTATTTGTATTTTTTGCCAAGTAGTTTTAACAACATAGTACTAAATATAACGGTGTTAAATTGACCCAGTGACCTACCACTTTTCCATAGGAACAAGTCTTAATAATTTTAGTTGTGTAATGTACTAGAGTGGTACTCACAGACAACTTATTTTTGTAGGCAACAGGACATGGCATTATCAAGGGAATGGGAGAACAGAAATTTGGCTCTGTAGTAGTGTTTATCAGCTTCTACATTGTGGCACTGCCTATTGGCATTCCTTTGATGTTTCTCACTGAGCTGAAGACCTCAGGTGAGTGTTTGTCTCTACATGCTTGATCTACCTATTGGCATTCCTTTGATGTTTCTCACTGAGCTGAAGACCTCGGGTGAGTGTTTGTCTCTACATGCTTGATCTACCTATTGGCATTCCTTTGATGTTTCTCACTGAGCTTAAGACCTCAGGTGAGTGTTTGTCTCTACATGCTTGATCTACCTATTGGCATTCCTTTGATGTTTCTCACTGAGCTGAAGACCTCAGGTGAGTGTTTGTCTCTACATGCTTGATCTACCTATTGGCATTCCTTTGATGTTTCTCACTGAGCTTAAGACCTCAGGTGAGTGTTTGTCTCTACATGCTTGATCTACCTATTGGCATTCCTTTGATGCTTCTCAATGAGCTGAAGACCTCAGGTGAGTGCTTGTCTCTACATGCTTGATCTACCTATTGGCATTCCTTTGATGTTTCTCACTGAGCTTAAGACCTCAGGTGAGTGTTTGTCTCTACATGCTTGATCTACCTATTGGCATTCCCTTGATGCTTCTCACTGAGCTGAAGACCTCAGGTGAGTGTTTGTCTCTACATGCTTGATCTACCTATTGGCATTCCTTTGATGTTTCTCACTGAGCTTAAGACCTCAGGTGAGTGTTTGTCTCTACATGCTTGATCTACCTATTGGCATTCCTTTGATGCTTCTCAATGAGCTGAAGACCTCAGGTGAGTGCTTGTCTCTACATGCTTGATCTACCTATTGGCATTCCTTTGATGTTTCTCACTGAGCTTAAGACCTCAGGTGAGTGTTTGTCTCTACATGCTTGATCTACCTATTGGCATTCCCTTGATGCTTCTCACTGAGCTGAAGACCTCAGGTGAGTGTTTGTCTCTACATGCTTGATCTACCTATTGGCATTCCTTTGATGTTTCTCACTGAGCTTAAGACCTCAGGTGAGTGTTTGTCTCTACATGCTTGATCTACCTATTGGCATTCCTTTGATACTTCTCAATGAGCTGAAGACCTCAGGTGAGTATTTGTCTCTACATGCTTGATCTACCTATTGGCATTCCTTTGATGTTTCTCACTGAGCTAAAGACCTCAAGTGAGTATTAGTTTCTCCATGGTCGGTCTACCAATTGGCATTATGTATCACATGATTTTAGTAGTTTACCTTGATCTATCACAGGGTTATGGTAGTCTTCCTTTATCACATGGTTATGGTACTCTACCTTTATCACATGGTTATGGTAGTCTACCTTTATCGTTAGCAGAGTTATGGTAGTCTACCTTTATCACATGGTTATGGTAGTCTACCTTTATCACATGGTTATGGTAGTCTACCTTTATCGTTAGCAGAGTTATGGTAGTCTACCTTTATCGTTAGCAGAGTTATGGTAGTCTACCTTTATCACATGGTTATAGTAGTCTACCTTTATCACATGGTTATGGTAGTCTACCTTTATCACATGGTTATGGTAGTCTACCTTTATCGTGAGCAGAGTTATGGTAGTCTACCTTTATCACATGGTTATGGTAGTCTACCTTTATCACATGGTTATGGTAGTCTACCTTTATCGTTAGCAGAGTTATGGTAGTCTACCTTTATCACATGGTTATGGAAGTCTACCTTTATCACATGGTTATGGTAGTCTACCTTTATCGTTAGCAGAGTTATGGTAGTCTGTAACCTTTATCACATGGTTATGGTAGTCTACCTTTATCGTTAGCAGAGTTATGGTAGTCTACCTTTATCACATGGTTATGGTAGTCTACCTTTATCGTTAGCAGAGTTATGGTAGTCTTCCTTTATCACATGGTTATGGTAGTCTGTAACCTTTATCACATGGTTATGGTAGTCTACCTTTATCGTTAGCAGAGTTATGGTAGTCTACCTTTATCACATGGTTATGGTAGTCTACCTTTATCGTTAGCAGAGTTATGGTACTCTAACTTTACCTGTATGTATTTTAGGGTTCTGGTGGGCATTGATAGGTGGCCAGGTGATCCAATCACTATGCTTCATAATACGTGCCTTATGTGCTAACTGGACTAAAGTGGCCAAAAAAGTAAGCTTTTCTCAAGATAACTACCTTTCCTGTGTAACATGCCTTTGAGAAGCCTTGAGTTAAATCCTACTTTTGACAAAGGACAGAATAAACTCATATTTTTGCGTTAAAATCATAGAATCAAGGTCTATGTTATGATGAATCGATAAGCAAACCAGAATATATTCAGTAATGATCATACCCCCGTTATAGACCAGTAAATCATTTGTTGTACTCGTCATAGCATCATATTTCATTAGAATATAGAATAATGTCATATGTTATACAATAATATGATATGGAATAATATAATATCACTACCACAAGTGCTGAGATATTGTCATAGTCTTCAACTTTTTTTGTGGAAAGTGTGCGGCAGTTGGTGTTCTGAGTTTGGCATTTGTAACAAATGGCAGGTGTTGACATTTTTCATGTTAATGCCTTATATATAACTTTGTTTTAGGCTAAGATAACAGCAGGGATTGAGGATAATGATGAATTGAACAAGAAACAGCCTGAGCTGCCAGAAGAAAAACAAAGTAACATATTAACTTTATATTATCTTAAATAGTGATCGATAACTGTCTTCATTGGTCATTTGTGTATTTGCAATACACCACTTTTTGTACAATTCTCTTCCATTCAAATCATTTTAAAATATACATCATACAAGACAACTTGACAACATTCATAAGCAGGAAAAAAGAATCATTCAAAACCAAGTATATCTTTTCAGGTCTATTACATCATGAGGAATTGGGAAACAGATACAACAAAGACCAGACAGGAGAAAGTGTTAAGATATCTAATGGATATGGCACTTACCACAAACAAACAAATGAAAGTGCTACTGAACAAATCGTATACTCTCAACAGAAGGACTACCCAACACAATACAATGGACCCATTACAGAAACAAACATTGACCAAAATGCACAACCAAATGGATATCATAAGTCACAAAACGGATATCGCAAGCAACCAAATGGATATTTGAAAAAGGGTGGCTCTCATATTCTGTCTGGTCGACCTGCAACTAGATACTCATTTTCTGAAAATGATACAGATATTGAAGACCGTGTGACGGCCATTGAGCGTCAAATGTCAAGTAGCCAAAAAGTTGACCGTCATGCAAGTGTTGATCCAAGTCCTGACATTAAGTTAATCAATTACAAAAGACTAAATGTGAAACAGTTGATCCTAAGGCGTGGCTTTGTTTTGCTGATTAATGTGGCCATTTTAGTGGCAGGAATCTTTGTCAGATTAAACGTATCAATTAACCACGTCCCTTCTCAAGAAGACTCAAATGTCACACAGTTGTGTTACCCTAATGGTACAGTGTTTAATGGAACTGAAGGGGTTAACGTAACGATGATTCCATGTTTTTTCACAACAGGGTTAACTCCTACATTTCCCAGTGTTCTCCCAACTTTAGATATTAATGATACTACTGCTTCTTATATTTGAAGGGGTTAATAATATGTTTGAATGATTTTAAAGAATCAATCCATACTCGTCTATATGATCTCAGAACTTTAATTGTAAAGATTTTATATTATGTTCGATGATTGATGTTTATGACAATTTGGCTAGTTAGATTTGAAGGAGTTGAATCTAACTACAGTGTGTCCAAAAAACAGGACCGAAGGAAATTTGAATAATTCGGTCAATCTTGCATATTATATAAACGTACATGTATATTGGTTTTCCATATTACTGGTTGTGTTCTTGGCCGCTTTGTCATGTTTTGCTGTATTTGGTTTTAATGCTTTGGTCTTTCCCTTTTCGCTCAAGCATATACATGTATTTTAAACATCCTCCTTGACTGAGAATAGCAAGCTGTGAAATGTCAAACGTAGACACCAATTTTATATGTGACAATGAATCAAAAATATAAATAGTATGTCATTATTGTGACTGCTTACAACACAAGTTTATTAATGTTTGTGACTAACCTTACTGCTACAACAGCTCTTGTTCAAATCCACTCATTTTCAGAAAGGGAAAATAAAACTAAAAACTAGGAATCCAATGACTATAGTATCTTTACAATGTCGTGATTAAAATGTGTTCAGCCATTGTAAATCACGATGAAAAACGCACATGAAAAACGTATCATCGCCCTCGTCTGTAGTGACATATTTTGAGAGATATCTCAGTTGTTATAAAGAAGACCAATTTCATTATGGTAAGTCACTTTGGATCATGATGAGAACGCACTAATAACATCATGTTCAGTTTGAAAATCAAAAACACACTTAAAACATGGTCGTATTTGAAATCACGTCGACATCTTTTAGATTTTATTAAAATACGTAATGTTTGATTTCTAGGTTGTTAAATGTCAATCTGGTAAAAACTACATTCAATGAGACAAAAATAGCTTTGCAATGGTGTGCTTAAAATGTTTAGTCACTTTTGATCCCGACAGAACGCACGTAACATTACATCTCATTCAGTAATCAGTTTGACAACAACAAATCATTTTTATTTAAAATACGTAAAGGAGTGGTATCGATATAGTGAACGTTTTGAACACGCGTTTCTCTTAAACCAGTCATCAAAACATTCTGAAAATTTTACACATCGTCAATTTAATGGTAATCTTTTAGATGGTAACATTATGATTTGAAATATATATATACCAGGTCGTTCAATAAGTTCACGGAAAAACGCTCTCATTTCAAGGATTTTTTGATATTTTCTCATGAAATTTTCACACAATGTATAAAAAATACTATCTGATTGATTCTTAAAATATCAGCATCTCTTATTTGATTGGTCAAAAATAAGGGTTACTATGGTAACTTGACTTTTGGGTAGGCTACAGTACAGTTACAGTAACCCTTATTTTTGACCAATCTAATTAGAGATGCTGAGATTTTAAGAATCGATCAGAAAGTATTTTTTAAACGTTGTGTGAAAATTTTATGGGAAGATATCAAGAATCTTTGAAATGAGAGCATTTTCCCGTGAACTTATTGAACGACCTGGTATATCTCCCTAACAGAAAATTCAATCAACATTTCCATCCTATGGCAAACGTAAAAATATATACATAAACGTCTCACAAAATATCAAATTAATCGCTGCTAGCAGCGCGACGTACATCTGGTCCGAAAATTGACATTCCGTACAGAGCGAAAAGTAAATCCGAGCTTTATGACAAATTAGATTCTCAATATCTTACGAATAGAATAAACACTCAACAAGTCCTTGGTAGAGCAAATGCAAAAATATATCCTTTAACGCCTCTCAAATTATGGCATTTAGTCTAGGGCGCAAACTGTATCAGCGATTTCAGACAAATTAGATGTAAAATACTTCACGACCAGAAACCTCAGTCATTAAATCCTTCGTAAGGAAAACGTAGAAATATCTACTGAAACGTCTCACATAGGACTGGCTAGCACCAGCGTCGCGTACGACTGCTCAGAAAATTGATTTTTCGTCTAGAGTGAAATGTAAATCAGAGATTTATGACAAATAAGATACTCAATATCTCACGAATAGAATTACCACTAAACTAAGTTCTTGGTAGAGCAAATGCAAAAATGTATCCTTTAACGTCTCTCAAATTAACAAACAAAATATAAAAGCGCAAAAGCCAAAGTGAAGGGTGACTAAAACCATGATCTTACGTGAAAAGAAACAATGTCTAACATCCCCCTCCCCCTCCAATCGAGAACCAGTATCACAATCCAAGACCAGAACACCAAGGGACATTTCATTCATACTGAAGTCATTACAATACATGTTGAAGAAAAATTGAAAAAATGATAACCAATACTCATAACATCAAAAATAGTTGTAGATACTAGTACTCACAAAGGATAGAGTATTCAATCTCAAATGATGTGGGATAGATAAAATCCAACACAACAATTCACAATGGTCATCAAGAGAAAACTATGGCTGGTTTCGATCCTTATTTCTCAACCATTAATGCCATAGCACATCAAAAGGTGCCAAGTGAAAAAATTTTGAGTTTATTGCCAATTTATACACCATTCCTACACCCTTCAGCATCTCAAGTGGTAAAACCTGAAATTTCGAAATTAATGACTTGTACGTTACAGAACATCAACATGCTGCTACAAGCGTGACGTTAGATCGGTCCGAAAATTGACATTACGTCTAGAGCGCATTTAAAATTCGAGCTTTACGACAACTCCTACAAATTAGATACTCTATATCTGACGATTAGAATGACCAATCAACAAGTCCTGGATAGGGCAAATGTAAAAATGTAACCTTGAACATCTCACTAAATAGCAAATATCATGCTGCCACCATCGTTACGTACGACTGGTCCGAAAATTGACATTTCGTCAAGAGGACAAACTGCATCAGAGATTTAAGACAAATTAGATATAAAATATATCACGAACGGGAACATCATTCATTAAATCCATTTAAGAGCATACTGCAAAATATATATTTAAACGTCTCACAAAAAAGCAAAGGACTGGCTAGTAGCAGTGTGACGTACGACTGGTCAGAAAATTGACATTTCGTCCAGAGCGCAAACTGCATAATTGACTTAAAACGAATTGGATATTATATATCTCCCCTACAGAAAAGTCAATGAACATATCCATCCTATGGAAAACGTAAAAATATATAGATGAACGTCTCACTAAATATTAAACTAGTCACTGCTACTAGCGCGACGTACAACTGGTCCGAAAATTGACATTCCGTACAGAGCAAGTAAATCAGAGCTTCATGACGGCTTTGTATAAAAAAAATTCCTACCTCGCACCCACCCACGTGGGACATGATACAGTCTTTAAAGGGTTCAATTTTAAAGATTATTAGATGATTATTAGAATTTTTATGAAATTATTAGAAGTTATTAAATCTTAGTTTATGTTGAATCATAGATGAATCAATGAACCCTATGCCTTTATTTATGGATCTGTCAATGGTCTAGACATGAATAAAGTCAGAATTGCAAAAATGTTAAAGAAATTCTGGGAGAGACAAGTGACAAAATATTGCTTCTTGGACGAGATCAAACGACTTTGACATATTCCGTGTGTGAATGTTTCAATTACTCAGATTTTGCCGTGGATCCGATTTTAAATGCTTCCAAATAATCTTCTAATGCTAACTTTGATTTCTATTAATAATGTTTTGACTTCCCCGCTTCATAAAAAGAACATTATCACCATTTACTCTATATTAAGCATAAACTGAGAATGAATAATTATCTTAAAAATTCCATCCTTCAAAGACTGTACAAGATCCACGTACGTGGGTACGAGTTTTTTTTATGCAAAGCGAGACTGCCCGAACAGCAAATGATTTTGAGAAATAAAAAGCAGACATGAAACAAAATAGCTTATCTGCAATTCTGCTTTATTTTATGACTAGACAGATGACAGATCCATGAATAAAGGCATATGGGCGCATCAATTCATCTATAATTCATCATAAACTAAGATTTAATAAAGTCTTTGAAATTGAACCCTTCAAAGACTAGCTGTATCATGCCCACCGTACGTTGGTAGGTGGGTACGTCGTAGGAGGTTTTTTTTATACAATGTAAAACCAAAGCCACGCCCCTTTATTTTTTTTCGCTTTTACTTACCTTGAACCACGCCTCTTTTCCAACTTTTTTGCTTTTTACATTAAGACTGCCCCTTTATCGTTTTTTTGCTTTTACATTCCTTAAACAACGCCTATTTTCGATTTTCTCGCTTTTTTACACAAAGCAACGCCCTCTATCATTTTTTCGCTTTTAATTACCTTAAACCACGCCCCTTTATCGTTTTTCGCTTTTAATTACCTAAATGCCTCTCCTTCGATTTTTTTCGCTTTAAATACACAAAGCTACGCCCCTTTATCGTTTTTTGCCTTTAATTACCTTAAACCACGCATCTTTTTCATCTTTTTCAATTTTTCCGGTTTATAATACAAAGCCACGCCCCTTTATCGTTTTTTGCCTTTAATTACCTTAAACCACGCATCTTTTTCAATTTTTCCGGTTTATAATACAAAGCCACGTCCCTTTATCGTTGTTTCACTTTTAATTACCTTAAACCATTCCTCATTTTCGTTTTTTCGCTTTTTTAGGTACAGCAACGCCCTTCAATTGTTTTTCGCCTCTTTTCTTTTTTTCGGTTTTTTAAACAAAGCCACGCCCCTTTATCGTTTTTTTGCTTTTAATTACCTTAAACCACGCCTCTTTTTCGATTTTTCCGCTTTATAAAGAAAGCCACGCCCCTTTATCGTTCTTTCGCTTTTAATTACCCTAGACCACGCCTCTTTTTCGATTTTTCCGCTTTGTAAAAGTAAGCCACGCCCCTTTATCGCTTTTTCGCTTTGAATTACCTTAAACCACGCCTATTTTCGATTTTTTCGTTTTTTACGATAAGCCACGCCCCCTTTATCATTTTTTCACTTTAAATTACCTTAAACCACGCCTCTTTTTCGATTTCTTCGTTTTTTTACACTAAGCCACGCCCCTTTATCGGTTTTCGGTGTAAAGAACCTTAAACCACGCCTCTTTTTCGATTTTTCCGCTTTTTAAAAGAAAGCAACGCCCCTTTATCATTTTTTCGCTCTAAATTACCTGAAACCACGCCTCTTTTTTGATTTTTCTCGTTTTTTTACGCTAAACCACGCCCCCTTTATTATTTTTTCGCTTTAAATTACCTTAAACCACGCCTCTTTTTCGATTTTTTCGTTTTTTTTACACTAAGCCACGCCCCTTTATCGGTTTTTCGGTGTAAAGAACCTTAAACCACGCCTACTTTTCGATTTTTTTCCGCTTTTCCAAAGAAAGCCACGCCCCTTTATCGTTTTCTCGCTTTTAATTACCTTTAACCACGCCTCTTTTTTGATTTTTTTCGTTTTTTACGCTAAGCCAC